GACACGAGAGGGGGGGGGGGGGGGGGGGGGGTATAGCCTTGTCGAGGAGGCAGACAATGTTGAAGAGCGCTAGGAGACCATCTTTTTCGCTTGCCAACACTCTTTGAGAATAGATAGATAGATCGCATCCTCGATACTCCAGGGTTACGCTCACTTTCGCTTTGTGCACCCCTTGGAATATGTCAGCAAAATCGGATGAGACGATAAGTCCAATGTGATCATTTGATGTACATCAAAAGAATCTCGCGGTCGCGTAACGTAAAAATGGAATGGCTTTGAAGTCGGAGGTTGCTCCTCTGTAATTTTCAAAGGACAGGTATCAGCCTAGCGATTGGTCTTTTTTTTACCTGAGACCAATCAAATAGCTAGTCGCGTGCCTTAATTTTTGCTATGACATATTCCAGGGGATAAGAGAGCGAAAGTGAGCGTAGCCATTGGAGCATCCTCGATATCCAGGGGTTACGCTCACTTTCGCGCTTTACACCCCAGGAATATGTCATAGCAAAATTGCAGGCACAGAGATATCTGTTTGATTGGTCTCAGTTAAAAACTGATCATCGCTAGGCTGATACATGTCCTTTGAAGATTACAAAGAAGAGACGCCCGACTTCTAAGCCTGTCAATTTTTATTGTTACATAACCGCGAGATTCTTCTCATGTATATCAAAGATTAGTCTTTTTGTCTCATCAACAAGGTGGCGCACACCGAGCCTTCAATTTTGCTATGACATATTCCAGGGGTGTAGAGAGCTAAAGTGAGCGTAACCTCTGGAGCGACGAGGATTCCATTGGAGTATCGAGGACGGGTAGATCGGCACGGTGAGATCGGAGCGTTCCGAATGGGTAACACATGGCTAACAGAGATGAGAGGGAATATAATAATGAGGTAGAAAGGAAATAGTGTTGAAAACGTTCAACGATAGTGTTTATGCACAAAGATGTATGGCAATGTACAGATAAGAAGATTTGTGAGTAGGTCATGGAATTTGTAAAGGAAAGCCCTCGCCAGAGGAGGAAAACAGACCGATGCCACTCGCGGATCCAAATACCAGAAATATGAAATCCAGAAAAGCAGTAAACAATCATGGAAGACAGTTAATCTAGTCTCTATCGCCGGATACCATATACATTTGTACGAGAAAAACAGAGACATACATGCATTTAAAGTAACTTAAATTTTACTTTGGGGGGTAAAAAGAAAATCATGATGTCACTTCATTCTAGTTTTACGAACTTTCTGTAAACCGAACCGCTAATTATTTTCGACGCACGCGTAATACACTGACAACTTTAAATGGTGGTTTATATTAAAAGCCTTGAATTAACTTTCGTATTGCTGTAATATACGAGTTTATTGAAATATGCAGCACATGGAAAGTCGGGAAATTGGCGGGAAATTCATTTCATGTTTTATGACGTCATCATTATGCTGATTCCAACGTGGGTCGAACTTACAACAAACCGCGTGTCCAAACTTTCCCTACCTTCGGCCATCTAATCTTCCGACAAAAAAATAATTCTTCAAATAGAGAACATTTGTTATTATTTCATGGACTTTCTCTTCCAAATGGTTATATTTCAATAAATGCCACACTGACCAGAACGACTTCAATACTAAAAAATATGCGGACTTACCAGGTCTCCCCTTCACCTTAATTCAAGCATCAACCACTTAGTTGATCATAGTTTGTACGGTCCAACGACCTTGTCAATTTCCTCATCAATGTCAAGTTCTTGCTTTCAGCTGGGGTATGTGTTGTATCTCAAAATAGTTCTGCCTGTGACCTCTGAGTATTTAACTTGCATTATATGTCTAGGCAGTACGAATATATCTCAATAGTTCAAGCATCACCTGCTGAGTGGGTCTCAATTTATCCTGAACAAAGTCGTATTACCCAGAAAAATGCCAGAAAACCCGTCTTAAATGGCCGTCTTCATATGAAGGAACTTAACAGTCTACCAGTTTTCAGTAAAATGAATATTGAAAACCCAATACCCTACCACTCGGTTCAGCTTGCTCTACAACAATACCTAGTATCCCACCACTCGGTACAGCTTGCTCTACAACAATACCTAGTACCCCATCACTCGTACAGCTTGCTCTACAACAATACATAGTACCCCACCACTCGGTACAGCTTGCTCTACAACAATACCTAGTACCCCACCACTCGGCACAGCTTGCTCTACAACAATACCTAGTACCCCACCGCTCGTCCAGCTTGCTCTACAACAATACATAGTACCCCACCACTCGGAACAGCTTGCTCTACAACAATACCTAGTACCCCACCACTCGTACAGCTTGCTCTACAACAATACCCAATACCCCACCACTCGGTACAGCTTGCTCTACAACAATACCTAGTACCCCACCATTCGGTACAGCTTGTTATACAACAATACCTAGTACCCCACCACTCGGTACAGGTTGCTCTACAACAATACTTGGTACCCCAACACTCGGTACAGCTTGATCTACAACAATACCTAGTACCCCAACACTCGGTACAGCTTGCTCTACAACAATACCTAGTACCCCACCACTCGGTACAACTTGCTCTACAACAATACCTAACACATTTGTCTGTTTTAGACTTATACTAATCACGTTTGAACAGAATTTGACATCTAATAATATGTGTTTAGTTGTGTCCCAACGGCATACTACATACTTTCTATGCGTGAGCTCAGCTACATATTTCTTACCAGACATGCTATTTCCGGTAATTAAGTCGAGCACATACAGATAAGAACATTTTCCTTTTTAACTGTTACTTGTGACATTTTAAAATAAAAGTTGCAGAAATTTATATATCTGAAAAATGCGATGAAAATCTTTGAGTAATCCCATGGTCCAATTTTAAAGTTAGGTCTATATTAATTCTGTTTTGGTCATTTATAATTGTAAACCAATGTTGCAAGTGAGATTGCGAAACAGAAGATTTTATTTATTTTTATCTTTAACAGAAGTCAGTATTTTCAACTTGAGAATGTTTTTTAGCCATGCTAGTTCAATATATGTTTTCAATGTAATAATTATTTTTTTCATGACAACTATTACAAGCCTTGCCACGGAATTAAAGTGCTATCTAAATCAGTCTTGCCATACATTTTTTAATTCACAGGTTTAGAGCTACCCAAGAGAAAGACAGTTGGTCTAAGTGCACTTCAAAGTTGGTAAACTCCTAAATGTATATTTGTAATAGAGGATATCAGTTACATCAGAAAACCTTTAATCTTATTCCTTGGTTGCAATAAGTTTAATGTGTGTGCCCTTTTTCTGATAGAATATGACTGGACATAAGTATAGTTTATGTTAGCTGACAGTTATTCATCCAATTATCCAAGTCAGAGACGATACTATTCTGGCTTTATATGTCTCTGTTCTTTTAAGAACTTGAATAGTTTAGTTACATTTACCCGCTTAGTTTTTATCATTCTACTTTTAAATGCCCTAAACGTCAATTCTAGATCAGCGACGTGTACACTCCCTATCTACTTTCAGTTCACAGTTCCTGTTATCGTGCCTACTGTAGCCATGGGACGTTCTCGAGTTTATTGATAACACGTGTACCAGACCGTGAAATTCCAATGTTGTTCCATTCATTCAGATGGAATACTACCACTAGATGTCGCCCAAATAATTATCCAATCAGAAAGCAGCTTGTTCAGAAGTGCGAATTTGCGCACTAGCCGACTGGATCTTCAGCCATTGTACGACGGTGTCCACATCAGATTTCTTTCTCTACTGGATTGTGGTAAGTACAGTCAATCTCACGTTGATGGTAGAACTGAATATAGTTCAATGTGCCGGGAGACATTTTGAAATATACGATCGGCTCTGTGGATGTCCCGTGGACATTAACGCTTTGTGTGCTGCTGAATCTGTGAGATAATGATTTATGAGTGAAGACGCAAAGCTCGCGAGACTGTGCAAATCTCATTTGCAGACTCCGGTGCCTTGTAGAGATCGTGCGGCCATTTTCCCCCCAAGAAATATTAACGTTTACAATAAGAGGCTATTGGAACTAATCACAAGTCCAGAACAGCGATATTTGATACAACTTTGACATGATTCTTGCAGGTGTACTTTCGTGTTTTGATTTATTCCAACAACGCCATGTTTTTTTTGTACCGGTAGGCTATGCGGTATGGTAAACTTAGTGCCCGTTGTCTAAAAATCTATAAATGACACGAGATTTGTAACCTTGTTTTAAACATCGGGCTTACACAACTTAAATAATATATATATATGAAAAACTTGACAGATATATCAAACAACGATGTCAATATGAAATAATACATTGGAAACGAAGCCGCCGATACATTCTAATTATAGATCATTGACCCGGTTTAATCATCTCATTACCGTAATTGTGTTACAGCAAACTCTGGTTTCCGAAATCATACGATAACCCAAAAATTGTCTAACTCTTATCAAAATTAAACAAAGGTTCATTATATATTTTAAAATTTTCTGAAAGACATCATTGTCTCCTTACGACTTTCTTGTCAAGATGATCAATTAGATGAAACATTCCTTTTTATAGTTTTGCAAATAAAAATTGCAGAAATGATGCACCTCAAATTGTAATATAATTTTTTTCCCTCTAATTTCTGAACTGGGGAAGGCCATCCACACATAAGCTGTCCATTGGGGAAAATCATTGACAGCTTGGTGTACATGTGTGTCCATTAAAACCATCATGCAACGCTAGTTCACAACCGAACAAAATGTTAACTTTGAGAAACCAACAAAATAATTTTGGGGTCAGCATATGAGATTTGGTTAAATGAAATTTGTTTTATTTTTTGCAGGGGCAGCAACAAGAACTGACTGATGTGATTGACACGAGGTATGACTCTTGCAGCAAGGTCTTCGGCATATATATCTTCATACCCAGTCAAAAATGGGGCCAATTTTACTTGCTTAATGATGATAAAACAAATCGGTCAAATTTTCATTTAATTTCAGTATATAAGGTCTTTTATTTCAGAGTGTTTAAAATTTGGTTGATCGTTAAAAAAGTTTGTTATTTGTAATGTTTACTAAGAGATTTGTAGTTAAAATGATAAATTAACTACTGGTTATGGAAAGGTATTTGCAATATTTTGACTAGCTAACACGGGTGTACTAGTCTGACATCCAGGCCTATTAGATTTTATGTTTGGGTTAGTGAAAATCTTCAATATTAATCATGGAAATATAGGTCTGGTTAGTAGAACTTGAATCACCCAATGAGGTTGTACTCCAAATATGACACCCCTGAGCTACAAAGTTAGGCCTGCAGTTCTAGTCTCGTGACAAATTATTATAGATGAGTTATGTCGTGCATTTCATCTACTCTTTCTGTAGAATGTACTTTGGTTTAAAACTGTATTGTTTACAGTTTATGATGATAAATATTGCAATTATCTTGTAAAACTTTGTTGCACAAACATTGCATGTTTCTTTTTAAATCATATAATTAATTTGTTTTACAGTAATTTTACAAATAGCTAGCGTTACTTAGTAACATAAATATAAAGCGTTCTACCTTTGTATCATATCAAATCATTCATGCTGTTTGGCATTTGGTTGTCATCTCTGTTTTCCTCGTCCTTTCGGAAATTTCAAAGTAATAAAATACCTGATATCTGCTAAGAACCAAGTGTTGAATTGTTTTCCTGGCTACCAGGCTGTTCCTGTGAAAGTTGGGTATTCATGATACAATTTTGTCGGTTTGATATGTTACAACTACGGTAGACAACTGTATATTAATTAAGGATTAAAAATTAAGGTTTTATTCATAAATTTCTCATTAGCTAATTGTCTAAATTTAATATTAAATTAATCTTTAAATACAAAATTACATCCAGCATTTGAAGGTGTTGAAATATTCAGATATATGTTAAATTAACAGTGAACTAGATAGAAAATAATCAAGAAAAATATAAAGGAATATCGGGAAACAACTTTATACTGTCAAATGTTTTATGTAATTTTGTGTGTATTTTTTAAACACTTGTAATGATAAGGAAATGCTGCAATTGAAATGGAATATATTGCAAGCATCTTCCAATTCAAATGCTGCTCAGTTTCTCTATGTTAATAGCAAGGATATCCAAGAAATGCATATAAAAGCAAAATTAAGTCCAGGATCAACAAATTGATTATGAAAAGCTCATCTGAAACTTCACAAATGTAAAACATGAAATTCTTTTTACCTTAAAATGTATTCTGCCCATATGATTTATGAATCAAATAATTTTTGAATCTGGCGTTTTTTTTACTTAAACAAAAAGATAAATATTATTCATTTTGTGGAATATAATTTGAAAAAAAAGAGATAATTTGAAATTTGCAATTCTGTCGGTGATGTCCAATCTCTTAAAGTCTTAACACTATTTGTGTTCATAGTATTAAAGCATTTCTTGAGAGCTGTATTTTCATTCATCCGTTCTTAGGAAGTGCAATGCAAGTTAATGTGATGTCCAATACATGAAATTGGGGTGACAATATCGAAATAACATCAATGAATACCAGGATTTGGTATTTCCTGTTATTTGTTGAATATATCTATTTAAACATTAACAATATTGCTTGTATAGCCAAAAGCTTCCAGTCTGTTGCTAAGTATAGCTTAGGTAATCAATAGCTGCATTTGTGCTACAGCAGCTGGTCCTCTAGACTTGGGACTGAGCTATGAGGCAACAGATGTGAAATGTGTTACCTGAATTGTTGTGATCGATAGGCCCTACATACCCCAGCGTCCTGTTTGGACGTCACATGTCTGGTTTTGTTAGCTGTGATGGGTAATGGTTTAATTTGGATGTAGTGGTTAGTAATTATGGTATTTGGTTACATCTGCTTATTGCTTGGAGTAGTGTATTAATTAAGGAACATTAATTAAGTTTAAAATACAAAAGCATATAAGTGTTGCCCAGCCAGCAATTGTATATGTTTCTGGTCAAGTGACCTCCCTTTGAGGAGACAATAAAAAACAAATGTGTAATATTTTTAAATATTTCAATATTAAGAAGAAGATATCTTGCTAGAAGAGAGAAAAAATGTTGGGAAACACTTTTCATGTTCATATTTTTAATACAGTTAATTATCTTTTTTCATATTTGTATCTTATTGTATCTTACCATCATATCAAACACTTTCATTGATCATTGTGCTTGCTAACATGGCTTGAAACAAATCATGCTTTTTAATTTGAGATGTAAGAAAATAGGCACCAAAATGTTTGAATGGTTTTTGATATGATGACTTTGTTATTATATACGTTTCTAATGCTTGCTTCTTAGTTTTAATCTTGTCCTGTTTGTACGGATACAAATTCATACGTATTCAAATATGTTGTTGTCTAAATTTTATTGGTGCATTTTTATTGCATGATAGCATAAAAAAATATTCATTATGTCCTGTATTATACTTTCCATAAATTCACATCATCACAAGCATTCAAGAGAAAATACATGTATGAATATTTTACACTGGAAAATACATTCCTGGGTACATCAAGACGAAACAATCACAGTGGGAATGTTCATAAAAGTCTGTGTAAAATTTTTATGCAGACATTTGATATAAACAAATTATCCAAAATAACAGTATTTAAATACAGTGATACACTTTAATATAGTTAATTATGTGTAAGTCTTAAATTTAAGGTTTATAAGTTTGTGCAACAATCCATTTGCTGAGTAAATTTTGGCTCCTCACTATTCAAAGTAGTGAATACCTTGAGAAATTAAACAACATGTTTCACAAATTGAGATTCTTGAAAGTTAAAAAAAAGATACATTCTGATTCAAGATTTCTAAAAAAATATATATGATGAACATATGCCTCTTATTCAGCAAAATGGAAAAAGTATTATGTAATTTTTCTCGAGTTAATTAGAGACAGTGGCTTTATAAACAGGAAAGTTGTCAAATTTGTTAGTAGGAAATTTAAAAGGTCCTGTGAATGAAATAAAAAATATAATTGTTACCTTATATATCCATTCCCTCTTGATCCTGTAATAGCTAGTATGAGTTGTAAAGTGCTGGACAGATTTGACAGCAGGCCTATAAGTTAATAGCAGCACTAGACTCCAAATGACAAAATCATCAGTTCTTGATTATTATTGTTAAAAAAAAATTCTGGTTGTAAATGTAAATAATGCATATGTTATTATAACATCACCAGATATTAATTAAATCATCGCAATAATGAAAGAAGAAACAACGATGATTTTATCATTTGTTTCGTTTAATATGGTTAAGGGATTGTTATGTTTAAAATGTAGATGTTGAAGTGTTTTTGATGTGATGTTTAGATTTGAAGTGTGGTGATTTTAGTTACATTATTTGGTACATATCATGCAAGTTTGAACAACAAATACACAAAGTTTTCTTTGACATGGTTAAAACTTGTACAGACATTCAAACTCACCTTTTTACTTGATAATTACTAAATTCAATTAACAAATATAAGACCTAGTCATATATATATGTATTGAGTACATTATATGATGACGTTTGTTGTTCAACCTCATTAGTTTTTAGTAATTTTCATGCTTTTTAATTAAAAATCTTCATAATTATTTTTTAATTTACAATTGAAATTAATTTTAATTCAAGTTTACAAGCAGGTTTTATCATGATTTTTAAATTGAAGTGTGCAATTTCAATTTGCCAAGAATTGTGTTTGCATGAAGAATTATATCATGGTACAATCTGCTTTGATTACTCCTGTAACTGTTAATTACATTGTTTGAAATAGTTTACTCGTGTAAATGTACCTTACACAAGATATTGACTCAAGACTCTTTGACAAGATCATTAAAATTTCTCTATTTTTTTATTTTTTTTTAAATGACCAGCTTTTTTAACATGGCAATTAATAATCCACAGTATTGCAATTACAAATCCACGATATTGCACGAGTAAACTATTTGAAATTTGTTTTGGGCGTTTGCAATTGTCTTGACAGCTTACAACATGTGCGCTAAATGACCATTTTCTATTTATTGACATATATATACCATTGTTTATATTACCATGATCTCCTGTTTTGTTTTGTAGTAGTTGAACATCAAATACAATACAAAGATACAAAATCATTCGGTAGGTATCTATCTCTGTAGATGTAACCTTATAGTAAACAAGTGACCCTGTCAACTGACTGACCCTTCTGGAGGAAGGGGACAGGTACAATTACTCAAGTTCTGAATGGTCACGACAAAGTTAATAGCATTCTATTAAACATGTACTGGAGGAATTGGTGATTTTTGGGACACTGATATGCGAGACGTGGACTTATTCTTTTCCTGTGGAGCTCGCCCATTTATTGAGAACCAACTACATCTGTTGGTAATGAGTCATCCAAATTTTGAACATTTCTGTTCAGGACTCACTTAAAATAATCATGCATAAATCGCTACCTGGTTACCTATCCCGTTCAAATACACTATACGTATCTAGATATTGGCTATATTTGTATGGTATAAATGATTTATGCAAAATAAATTAAGCGAGATTCTTTTTGTGGTGTGGGGAGGGGGGCTTTAACTTTGTGTCCTACTCTTACCTCAGAATGCATCGGGTCAGTTCAGGGTCACTTGTCCATCATCCTTCATTGCATCATATAACAACCCATCATCTGCTTAACAATTATTGCATGAAGCTTCAAAGGACAGAACGTTCAATTTGTGTCAATGACTGTTGGCTTATAAGTTATAACATGTCCGGTAGGTAACTATTAGCAGTTTCTTTTGTGTTGACAAATCAAACCTGACCAAAATCCAATCTACTGCCTACATGTACCTGTATAAAGTTGTGAATTTGAAGCTTCACAAGGTGTGTACATTTTGACTTTTATTACATTACCACCTAGTTCCTGAGGGTTTTATATAACTAACCACCTCTGGTGCAGAACCGATGTCAAATGACAATTGGATGACCACAGCCATAGCCATCTTGGCTATCACACACTAAATCAGTACACATGCTTTTGGACACAGAAATTTGAGTTTCATATAAAGCATCTGTGGAAAAAGTTGATGTATTAAATAAATCTGAAGACCAATTTTTAAGCCTTTGAGTGTGATTCCTGAAGTGTGCAGGAGAAAAATAATTTTAAAAGTTGAATGTTAAGATTCATAAAGCCAAAGTTATCAAAATGGAAGTGGTCAAATGCATCATGCTTGCATGCTTAAGTCTAACTTGTGTACTTTATGATTTGTTGCGACCTATATATGTGCATGTTAAAATGTTACTGCTGTACTATATTTTATACCTGTTTACATGTGCTTTTTAGGTTGCCTGTCAGATCACAGTAAACCAGTGTTACTTTGGTCAGACAGTGCTTGTAGTGGCTTCTTGTTTAGTTACTTTAAACTGCACTATACTGTCAATGATAATTAACGAAGAAATGATTCCGGGAGGATATATGGAAATATTGTACTGTATTTATGCTTAGATATTTGACATTGACTTCCTGCAAAACTCTTGTAATATGCAGATCTTTTCATTTCTTCTCTAGCTATGTGTTGGGAATCGGGTATTTTTTGCATTGATGATTGCTTAAAAAAAATGTGTGAACAAAATGTTCATGTTGATTTATGCAAACTCTGCAATAATCCGTTCACACCTCATTTTGATATTCAAAATTTTATTTGTTTCACGATTTTCACCTTTATTGTCAAACTACATTCTCCCTATTTCATTGGGTAATTACATAATGATATATATGTTTATTTTGTATGCTGCATGTGTTTGATTATTTAGTTATGGCTGAAATGTCCATTATTATTTTGTCTTTCAGGCATGCTAAGGGGAAACTTGTCTTTCATTTTAATTTGCGAGGTTTTAAGATGGCAAACCACTGACGAAAGACTTAATTTTTTTGCATGATTCTTTGCTCTTTAACGAGTGCCTTCTATTTGATTAGCATCTTAAGTGTGTGTGTACAATTGCTCTCAACAGAATGCAGACAGGTTTCCCTGCACACGAGTGTGACCAGGCTAGGATGGTCTCCCTTGAATTTTACACCGATTTTTTGTTTAGAATTGTGAATGGAAGACTCTTTCAGTCTGAAGCATGATTGATGATAACAACAAGATTGACAAACGTTGATGGACAAATGGACACTGGTGCAATGAACCTAACTTTAAGTGTTATTGTTTTCCCTACTTGTCTGTCAGCTTGGAACTAACAAATCAAACTTTATTTGCAGCCAATATGAGAACCTGTAATTTTTGTATGCTTTTTGTGTAGGTAGATATTTGTGAAACTCTCCAGACTGCTTTCTTAACAAAAACTACTGCTTAATACAATATTTAGTATATTTGTGGTGTGTATATGTATTCTATATATCTTAAATATATTCTTAAGTGCAAATTATTAGTGTGTAATATTGTTTTGTTCAACAGGTGGAAGCTGATTTTCCTGCAATATCAAGCTATTCCATACATAGAATAAATTATATATATATACCTGTACATATAAATAATACTTTCAAAATGCAAATTATGATGCATGCGATATATATAACATTGTCATGGCAGAAGTCTATTTTGATCACAAAGGATTATACAATTGAGAAGAAAAGCTCAAGTTATCCATTTGAGAGGGAGAAAGTAAATAATGATAGAAATCTGCCAGGACAAGAAATAATATATTTAAGCATAGTTTCATTTGTTATTTTTCAGGATCAGTCGTCTATTTATTAATATTTTACCTAAAGATAAGTTTGCAATGATAAATTCTAAATATTTTTGATTAACTCCTCTATTTAAGCTTTCTCTGCTTGCAATGTTTTTAAGTTGAATGCCAAACAGTATTGTACATTATGCTTAGCACTGACGAATCCATGTGCCCAACTACAAAATCGTTGACCAAACTTATTTTCAGGTTGCAAAAGCAAGAAAGGTAAATGGTTAACCTATCACATTAAGCTTGTAACCATTTGTGAGAAAGAAAGAAATTGCCTCATTTTGCCAATCGGGCAGTCTCTTATCCAAAAATAACTGTTAAAAACTCCACCCTCAACATGAGTTGCTTGCATGAGTAAGTTACCTTTTTCAGGAAAGAAATTATCTGGGTACTTAACATATACTATAAAGGAAAAGTTTTTCATTTCAAGTACTTGTTTTACTTTTCTCTGTTGTTCTAAATGTGAATGTATATTGATACTTATGTGAACTGTGCTTAAAATGACTTCAATGATTCTTATTCCTATGTAACTACTACGTATACCCTCCTGATGATCACCTCAGGTTTGTATCTAGGGCACCTGATCACACCATGTCTTTAAAATAGTACTGATGCAATGATTCTTCACCTTCCATTGTTTGCTATATATGTTCATGTATCTACACCATGCTGATTCCACTCCAGATCAGGACCTTGTATTTGTGGCTGGGCGTGAGATTGCGGAGCTTACAAATATGGACAAGGTATATTTCCACCAAAGCCAGCTTCCGAACCAGGTCAGACATCACCTGAGTCCAGAATGCTTCGTCCAGCCTCTGCTCGGGAACACATAACATATCATTATCTACTCTTTTTCTTTTTTTAAAAAGCCCCTTCAGTATATTTTACTCTCTGTACCTGTAGGGCCTTAATGTCTTATAAGAGGGTTGGAGGAGGAAAAAATAAGAATTATTGTAAGTAGATTAGATGAGTGGTCTTAGGTTGAATATGTTATGCTGTTTCCCAATCAGATGCTATGCATGTTGTCACCTCTCTGTTGTTGGTAAATGAAGATGCAGTCAATTTTGTTTTCAAACTTTATAAGTAAGATAATACTTCTATTTCTTGCACATTATTTTGACCTTCAATATAACTAACAAAATTGGCTGCATAAATTGATGTTTTCACATGTCATAACAGAATTATTATATTATATTGTGTCATTCTTGTTACTGATTTCTGTGACTTGGATTTGAATTTTTAAGTAATTCTGTACAAAGTTCCTTTCACTTTTGAATTTTGTGAGGGTTCTGTTTATTCAACAATGAAGCTAAATTGTCCAAAAAAATAAAACCAAAAAGGATTCGGAGAAGAAAAAAAACGGAANTTTTTTTTTTTTTTTTTTTTTTTTTTTAATTTGTATCATCTTATAGTTCTTTTCCACTAAACTTGTTCACTTGAGAATGACACAGTATAGTTCCTTACTAATCACTGTCAAAAGCAAAGTCTTTCCGGGAGCAATAAAAGTTGGAACCTCTACCACTTACCAGTAATCTGATAAATGAACTTCATTGAACAATGAATATTAATAGTTGATGTTGTGATGCAAATTCTTTTAAAATTTAAATGCTACCTGAAATTTTTGCTGTTGACAGTCCATAGATTTTTAAAAGATGATTATGAAAGGAATATGTATATAAATTTGATGTTTAGCTGTTGATTGTCAATCTGCCTTTCATACAATAGAAAAAATTGATATTGAGGCTCGTTATTGCAGATATCTTAAGTGGTTTCAATATGTTACATAATATAAACTCAGTTGCGCTTTATGATGTACAGGACTATCTGTCGAAAGATGATGCAGTATATATATTAACGCTGAATGAGGCCAGGCAGTCGCCCAAATGGGTGTATTTCTAGGTAGCCAGGAACTTGGAGGTTTATTGAATGTCAAATAATAGGAAAAGAATATCTTTTCTTACACTGTTAAACATGTGTTGATGTACAGTATATAGAGAAATGTTTGCCTAGTCAAATGTTGGTATCCCTGATAAAATTCCTATTCACCCGGCATTAATTTCATCCTTCACATGTTATGAATATACCCGTAGACATCATATGTTGTGTATTAGTATTCACTGTTGGGATGAATTCATCCTTGTTATGGGGTGGGTGTGTTAAAATGTGGCAAACATTTCCAGGTTTATGGTACACTGTAACATGATTCAAGTTGCACCATTTCTAATCACTTGCACCATGTTGAATTGTCTTTGCAATGAGAAAAATTCACATAGTTTTAATATAATCCTTGTACATGTATAAATATATAAAAGGTGACATTAAGCCAACTATGGATAAAAATGCTAGTCAAGTCTTTGCAACAACATTATTACAACTTAACAAATTTAAATGTTAAATGTAAATCTCATTTGCAAATGAATAAATAAATGCTCACTGTGTCAGATAAATTAAAACTGAAGTTCCTAATTTAACATAGAAGTATTTCATTACTATAAACGTCTGTATCAGACACGTCGTCCACATTGTTGCATGTTTTGCTGTTCAGAAATCTATTGTTTTTATGCTGAACAGAGTTGAATTTATTATAGGAATTACAATTAAGAATGCTAAGACCAACAAAAAAAATTGTCTGTGTAGGGTTGCATTGGCAAAAAAACAAGGGTAGGTAGGTCGATTTAAAAAAAAAAAAATGTGTACCGTGTGGTAATGTGATTATGACCCTACTATTGTACCGGTATCTAAAACAAAGAATTACATAAACAAGGTTCATTTGGAGGCAAATTGTGCTCCATATGCTGACATCTAGCGCAAACACTGAGCTGGAAGCCATTTTGAAAGGCAAGGAACCTTCAAAAATTCGAAAATCAGCGTTTTTAAAAACAAACATTTCGTCATTTGATTTCTGCAGGATTCGTCCATCATCCACTACGGAGGGAGACCTTCATGGGCTTGTTCACGCCAATAAATCAATCGTTAATTATTCGGCGTTATCGGCGTATAAACACCAAGCTACATGTACCTTAGATTCTACTTTTCCACTTTGATACCGATTACTTTCATGATTTTTTCATTTTTTTTTTACATATTTTTTTCAAATCTGATCCCAAAAACGTACCTGCACACTAAACCCGTGAATTTACAATATGTAAAACAAAGAATTACATAAACAAGGTTCATTTTGAGGCAAATTGTGCTCAATATGCTGACATTCAGCACAAACACTGAGCTGGAAGCCATTTTGAAAGGCAAGGAACCTTCTAAAATTCTAAAATTGGCGGGGTTTTTTTTTTCATCAAAAAGTTTTGTGTCGGGGGTAATAAACCTAGGGTCGGTCGGGAACCCTAAAAAGACATATATTCTTTGGGCCTAACTAGCTAGTATATTTGCTGCTGATAGGTATGTTCATGGTTTATTTCAGGGAACTTATAAGAATGAATTGAAGACAACTTGAAGAAACATATTGATCTTGATCTTTTTAGTCATTTCTGGTTTTATTTTCATTCAATAGTTGAAAGCTATGATGTCTTTCATGGTTGTTATGATATATTTCTTATCAATTTCATACAACCGGTAATTATTTCATTATGAATTTTTTATTGCAACCTGCATGTTTATTAGACTTGGCTGGAAGAGTCATTAGACTTGGCTAGAAGTGTTATCAAATTTTGATTTGTTTTTTTGTTACATTGCAGAAGACGATGAACTTTGCTGGAGCACCGGCTGTTGAAAAGAGTGGAAGTGGCCTATATCCTGCCGGGTACCCCAACTATGCCCCAACACAGCCTGGCATGGCCCATACCTTGGCCCCTGGAGCAGCTCCTGCAACTCACAGGCAACTGGCAGCCGCCGCCAACCAGCAATATCAACAGCCTGCAATGCCACAGAATATGAACCCATCAGTTTACAGTCCATCAACAGGGGTCTACTCAACACTGTCGCCAGGTTATCCAGCGCCCTCCAGTGGGGCCTTTCATCCACCATCGCACCCTCACGCGATGCAATACACCACGTTCCAGTCACCCTCAGCCTACCAAGCCAGCCAGTACGCAACACCAACATATATTGGTGCTCCTCAGCTGAGTGCCGGAGCAGCCTATCCCATGGGTATAGCAGTAACAAATCCCCATGCTCCGAGTGCTTACAACCCTTCCGTGGCCAGCGTACCACGTGCCTACACAACCCAGGCTGCAATGTCTCAGGCAGCCATGTCCCAGGCAGCCATGTCCCAGGCTGCCATGTCCCAGGCCGCTATGTCCCAGATGGGTTACAGCCCCCTTGGATCCAATCCACTCGGATCCAACCCACTTGGATCCAATCCACTCGGATCCAACCCACTTGGTTCCAACGTACCAGGTTATCCTAACACATATGGCTTTAATCAGGGATACCCGTAAAAGAAAATGGACACAAGACACTTGGCCTTGTCTTTGTCACGTGATAAACATGTGATGAAACCATGTGATCTGGTGTTGTTGGCCAGGATTGTGTAGGCTAGAGCCTGTCCGCATATCTGGCGTCTTATAGATCTGCAGAACTCTTCCCCTCCATGATTGTGAACAAATATATTATGTTAAGACCGCCTTTTGGTCTCGAATCAAGACATTATTATACAGTTTTAGGACATGTTTTATCATTATTAATTATTAATAATATCAGTAGGCTTTACAATTTTTTTTACGCAGATTATATACACTTATCAGTTAACAGGAAACTTCCGTATGCCATATTTACATTGCCAGTCTTGGTAATTTCACCTTAACAATGGAACAATCATCGATAAGAATTGCTTTGTGTATGTTTCTTTCCGTAAAAGGGGACATTCTGTATAAGCCTGGCACTAGATCGGGCAATGTAGATGTTGTACATATATTTTTCTACCATGTTTTGTTTACATCATGGACAAAACATTAAACTTTTTAGAGCATTTTAGTTTTACCACCTTGTTTTTATTTTATTTTCGAAAAATGTTATTTTTTTTCTTGCTTTTTGTGACATTACCTTGAAAATTCACGAGTTAATTTATAATTATCATCATGTTGTACCATTGAAGGTAACACTTAATAAAAACATATTGCAGAATGCTAGTTTTGTTGGCTCCTCTGCACAGAATGTTTGCTCAGGGATTTTCTAGGTTATACACAGGAATTTTCGCATAAGTTTTTTTTTGGGGGGGGGGGGTATCGGATGTCAATGCAGCACTTTTACTAGTTGGCCTCCAGTAATAATGATGACCATGTTATGAATTTTGAATTCTTAAGACTTTGATTGAAACTTTAATCATAAACATGCTGAGGACATTAGTTTGTTTAGGATGTTGAGATTGACTTATTACTGGTCACTAGATATTAGAATGTTGAAATTGACTTTAATATTACATGGTCACTAAATATACTGACAAAACCAAGGAAAATCCCTGTTGTCTTACAAACTTAAATAATTTCCATTAAGCAGGATTGTCACAAATTTCACAAATAGAATATAATAGAATGAATCTTTTGAGAAAAGACAACATTACTGTCGGATTGTAAAGGCAAACTTGCATATGAAGGTATTCAAATTTCTAGTTTACATTGTACTATCAGTGTGTCCATGCCAGCACCTGTGATAGTATGGTATTTGTTGCACCACTTCATAAGATTGTTATAGCAAACACTTGTACAAAAATCAGCTGCTATTTTCATTGCAAATATTAAAATTTTGTTCAATCAGTATTAAAGTATCTTCGATGTTCATTGTCATATTACCGGTAGACATCTTATTATATATTAAGTCCTATTAAGCTAAAATAACCTTAAGGAAATATTAAACATGACAAACAGTATTAAATAAATTTCTCTGGTTTCCTATAATTTAGCTTAAACTTTTCTTCAAAGTGTTTGTGTAAGAAGAAAGTTGACCTTGATCAAATCAACTATTTATAAAACTTAGTCATTTAGTAAAAAAATAAAAATAAAATGCAAATGTTTTAAAACAACAGATCTAATGGGACCTTTATTGGTTATTCAATGCTGTTTGCAGACACATCTATAATCATCTTTGACCTTCACAAAGTAGGTCAAAAACAAATCTATTTAGGCAGAAAGATAGAAAGTTAACATCAACAAGAGGCCCAATCGGCCTCCATCGCTCACCTGGTGTTAATCTCGCACTTGTTATCTTAAAAGTTGACTAAAATACAGCTACAAGCAGAATATCGGTGTTTGATTCATAACAACCTATTAAAAGATTTGAACATATGTCGCCTGTGACTTTGAATGTCGAACAAGGACATTAGGTTGAAAGTGGGTTAAGGTCATTCATTTGAGCAAACTTGGTAGTCCATCATCCCAGCATGCTACAGGCCCAATTTCAGTACCGTGGGCCTTTTGGTATTTAGAAGAAGACGTTTGAAGATTTTCAACATTGGACCCCTGTGGCCTTGAAAGTGGGTCAAGGTCATTCATTTGAACAAACTTTGTAGTCCTTCATCCCTGCATGCTACATGCCCAATATCAGTACCCTGTGCCTTTTGGTTATTGAGAAGAAGTCGTTTGAAGAATTTACAACATTTGAGGTAAACTTGTTTCACTCATGCAACCTTCAAAGTTGGTACAGGTTATTCCTTAGGCAATCACTCAGCAGTCTTGGGCAAAAATCATGGTCAAGGTCTTGGGGGTTATTCAAGAAGGGTTTTCATTCAAAGAAACTCGATAGCAGTCCAACTATGCATGCTACAGGCAAAACGTTGTGACTTATATAAAATAGAAGTTGAAGACAAGAGGCCCAAAGGCCTTAGCGGTCACCTGAGTTATATCATAGGTACTGGTAGCTTTATTTTATTGTTTAGATGTGATGTGGAAATCGGCATGTAAACTAAGTGAAATACAATACTTGTCATGAAATCAAAGGATAAGAATTCGAAAATATTGGTAAATGTTCCCTTTGGGGTCCCGCCCTAGCCTCTGGGGATGGGGCAGGAATCCCAATTTACAAAGTAATACTCTCATTCACCAAAGATGATTTTGACTAAGTTTGAGTAATTTTCTGCTGAAAATGGATAAAATATATACCCAAAAGTGTTATTTCCCTATATAAACTATAGCAAACTTTATCCCCTCCCCAAGGGCGAACGAATAGCTGGCGGGTCCTGAAATTTACAATCTAAGTAAAGCCCCTGATGATCTTTCTTTCCATGCAGAGAAAATGACTGTAGTACCTCTGAGTCTGAAGAAGATGTTTTTTGAAATATTGGTTCATTTTCCCTTTGGGATTGGGGTAGGAATCCCAAATTTACAATTTTGTAGCCACATCTACCAAGGATGATTCTGACCAAGTTTGAAAAAAATCCATCCACTGGTTCTTGAGAAAAAGATGAAAATGTGAAAAGTTTATGCACGACGAATGACGGATGGAAAGCAATTAGAATAGGTCACAGCTCAGGCGACCTAAAAAGGTTAATACCAGACCGACAAACAAGATGCACAAAAAAAAATAGCATTTAAGTTCATGTTGGTGAGTTGTCGGACTACAGTTGTTTTGTCCACATTCCTGAAAATGTTCTAGATCGCCCAATAATACACACAAGAAAGTTTTTGTAAATGTAAATAATCTCTATTTATTTGATATGGTAATAAACAGTAGTGTACAACAATGTTCACTCCAACAATTGATACATAATTGTTTGGCATGACTAAAAGATAAAGGATTAAACCTACATATTAAAATCATTCCCGACATATTAAACCTAAAATTGAAAACGTTGGCAGTTACAGTGCGTTTTAATTTTATAGCTTTCAATGCCTAAATCAATTAAAAGATTCAACACTTACAGTGCGTTTTAATTTTATAGCTTTCAATGCCTAAATCAACTGAAAGATTAACCACTTACAGTGCGCTTTAATTTTATAGCTTTCAATGCTTAAATCAACTGAAAGATTCACCACAAATCCCCTGTAAAAATACATGGTCTTTTACAAGTGTATAAGCAACTTTAACAAGGCTATGACAATTATGCAAAGGTCATGTGTAACGCAAGACATGAAACTGAAAGTGTTGTCAAAAGGTATCATTTAAGTGCATCATTAACTTTACAGGGGTGGAAAATTAAATTAACAAGAACCCTAGGATCTTTTTGATGCCTAGCTATTTATTATATTGATTAACTTGTGTAACACAAGAAAAAGAAATGAAACGGCCAGACCGAGATTGAAACCTAGAACCCTTCAAACTCTAGATGAATGCTCTACCAATTGAGCTACCTGTTCACCGAAGATCGATACAGTTCGGTTACATTTCATCCTTCTTTTTCTAAGTCATCACCCACAAAAAGACGCAACTATTTACAACCCAGGTTTGGGTATCCTCTTGCCAAGCATTCACCCAGTGCTTTAAACAAGGGTTTGAAAGCTTCCCAATTTTATAGGAAGATGAAAAGAAATGCACAGCCAATCTGGGATCCTCAGAACTCGAGACGAATGCTCTACCACTTGAGCCAGGACCCAGTCCAGTTCCACTACACTCGTGTTTCCATGTCAATAGTATTGTATTGTAAAATAGATGACTACAGGGTAAATTATTGGCAGAATGAGTAAAATATTAGATGAATTGGTGATATAGGGTCAGGTTGGAAATATAAACACAATGCAGAGTACCTGCATACATGAATAATAGAAGCATTTGAGATATAAATTCAAGTGTGGATAGAAATAACAATAAAGAAACTTAATTTAGAGGTTTAATCAATTTTAAGTGAACATATTGATTTAGCTCCCCCTTAAATCCAAATATACTGAATATACTTTGATTGATTTAGCTCCCCCTTAAATCCAAATATACTGAATATAATTTGATTAATAAATTGGAGTTCAGGAACTCGTAGTCCATTCACAACCATATCTCGCCATCTGAGTGCACTGCCCTAGCAAAGTGTGATGTTAGTCAAAATCTCCGAACATTATTAAAGAAATAGTGTTTTCTTGGATTCTTTGGAGACAGGCTTACGGGAAAGGTGTGTAGATCGTACTTGAACAGAGAAGAGTACTCTCTAGGGTCAAACTTTTGCAATATGATATGGTGAGTTTTATTGACAGGAAGGCAAGTCATTTACACTACTACAGAGGGCTAACAAAAAGTGTCCTCTATTGTACGTACATACAACAGATCTAGTTCACAAAGCAAATCGCACTTTTAAGAAAATATAAGTAAATGCACTGAGTTTGCAACAGATTTATATTAAAAGAGATTGCAGTTTCTATTTTAAAAGCTAGAACACTTGACTATTCAGGCAAAATATGACATCCAATGGAGTAATTCCTTTATTCATAAAATAAAGCTCACTATTTGCTAACAAGTATTTCTCTCTTTCCATTCTATGTTGAGTGATTCTATATCAGATTGCTACGTCATTGGGGCTAATAAAGACTACATTTGTCATGTGTAACAATTCAAAAGTTTGATTACGATACTGTGGTCCTAATACTATAATACAAAACTGACTGTCTTGAGTATAAAATATAGTTTAAATTCTTGCACACTAGTAGATCATTATTTAGATAAGCTTTCAACATGTTACAATCTGGTTAAAACCATATCTTGATCTAGGTTCCATTCCGTAAACAACACTCTGATGCATCGACGTGTAGTAAACTTCACTGCTACGTCAGTGTAGTAAACTTACACTGCTATGCGAGAGTGTAGTAATCTAACACTGCAGCATCAGTGTAGTAAACTAACACTGCTGCATCGGAGTGTAGTAAACTTATACTTCTACATGAGATCAGTAAACTTACACTGCAAAGCGAGTGTAGTTAACTTACACTGCTACGTCAGAGTATAGTAAACTTATATTGCTACATCAGTGTAGTAAACTTACACTGCTACGTCAGTGTAGTAAACTTACACTGCTACGTCAGTAAAGTAAACTTATACTTCTACATGAGATCAGTAAACTTACACTGCAAAGCGAGTGTAGTAAACTTACAAAGCTACGTCAGTGTAGTAAACTTACACTGCTACGTCAGTGTAGTAAACTTACACTGCTACGTCAGTAAAGTAAACTAACACTGCTACGTCGGAGCTAGTGTAGTAAACTTACACTGCTACGTGGAAGTGTAGTAAACTTACACTGCTACGTCGGAGTGTAGTAAACTTACACTGCTACGTCTGAGTGTAGTAAACCTTACACTGCTACGTCAGAGTATAGTAAACTTACATTGCTACATCAGAGTGTAGTAAACTTACACTGCTACGTCGGAGTGTAGTAAACTTACACTGCTACGTCAGATTGTAGTAAACTTACACTGGTACGTCAGAGTATAGTAAACTTACACTGCTACATCAGAGTGTAGTAAACTTACACTGCTACGACAGAGTATAGTAAACTTACATTGCTACGTCAGAGTGTAGTAAACTTACACTGCTACGTCAGAGTGTAGTAAACTTACATTGCTACGTCGGAGTGTAGTAAACTTATACTGCTACGTCAGAGTATAGTAAACTTACATTGCTACGTCAGAGTGTAGTAAACTTACACTGGTACGTCAGAGTGTAGTAAACTTACACTGCTACGTCAGAGTAAAGTAAACTTACACTGCTACGTCAGAGTATAGTAAACTTACATTGCTACGTCAGAGTATAGTAAACTTACACTGCTACATCAGAGTGTAGTAAACTTACACTGCTACGTCAGAGTGAAGTAAACTTACACTGCTACGTCAGAGTGTAGTAATCTTACACTGCTACGTCAGAGTGTAGTAAACTTACACTGCTACGTCGGAGTGAAGTAAACTTACACTGCTACGTCAGAGTGTAGTAAACTTACACTGCTACGTCAGAGTGTAGTAAACTTACACTGCTACATCGGAGTGAAGTAAACTTACACTGCTACGTCAGAGTATAGTAAACTTACATTGCTACATCAGAGTGTTGTAAACTTACACTGCTATGTCAGAGAATAGTAAAATAACACTGCTACATCGGAGTGAAGTAAACTTTCACTGCTACGTCAGAGTGGAGTAAACTTACACTGCTATGTCAGAGAATAGTAAAATAACACTGCTACATCGGAGTGAAGAAAACTTACACTGCTACGTCAGAGGGTAGTAAACTTACACTGGTACGTCAGAGTATAGTAGACTTACATTGCTACATCAGAGTGTTGTAAACTTACACTGCTACATCAGAGTATAGTAAACTTACACTGCTACATCAGAGTGTAGTAAACTTACACTGCTACATCAGAGTTAGTAAACTTACACTGCTACGTCAGAGTATAGTAAACTTACATTGCTACATCAGAGTGTAGTAAACTTACACTGCTACATCAGAGTGTAGTTAACTTACACTGCTACGTCGGAGTATAGTAAACTTACACTGCTACGTCAGAGTATAGTAAACTTACACTGCTACGTCAGAGTGTAGTTATCAAGATATGTTTTAATCAGATTGAATATCTTACAATTTGATCTTTTCTGCTTAAAATTATAGTTTTCATTCTTAGTTATCGTCGTTCTTCATCATTACCTCAAACAATCATTTCTCCTAAATTTTCATACATTTTTCGTTCGAAGGCATTTTCACGAAAGCTCTCCAATCTGCTGATAGAACAGCACACATTAACAGGAACTTGGCATTCATTATATTCACATATGATTATGTAAATTGTAAATTGTGAGATTTTAAACTTTGATCACAACACAATATTATGGTATTACAATGTATCTACCAAAATGTTTCAACCATTACTGTCTCCTTTAATTGTAACATGGATACCTAGTGCAAACGAGAAAATAAAATTCAATATTTTTTCTCCCTTATAATTGATACTTTCAGAATAATTCATACAGCACACCCCACTTACTCAGTACTGTCTTTGCCCAGGTAACTTTCCACAAGTCCCAGTCTCACAAATAAAGGCCACAGTTGTGGTAGAAATATTTTGGTAAGTTAAATAACAAAGGTTTGACATCAAATACTCAGTCAACAAAGACGGCATTTCATTTTAATACTTAAAACTTTATATTATAAACAAGTGAGAGCATAGAAAATAAAGCATAAATTCACCACATTATAGAAATGCAAATGATGTAAACAGTTGAAAACTATAGGAAATAAATAAGTAGGCATTTGAATATTGATGTGGAATGTTAAATATATACAATGACTACATGAGTAGTAAAATGCTTTTATACATTAATATTTACAAATAACTAAGTTTTCTCTCCTCCCTGCATAACTTGGTGACAAAAACCCTACAGCATTATTAAGTTATAAAATCACCTTTGCCCTAACCTTCTAGAAATGAATCCCCTTAGCCCAACATTATAAATTTAACGTAACATTTACAATACAACAACAGACAAATCATCACATTTCCTTTGACCTCTGATGGAGAAAAAATTAGAGTGATAGAAAAATTGGACATAGATTTATTAAAGTAAAGCTAAGCTTAAATGCAATCTGTTGAAGGTCATGATCAGAAAATCTCTATATTCTGAAGGAGAGACAAAAATGATTGGGTAGAAAATAGAAACCCTGAAGGTAAAATACTTCCCAAACCATGTAATAATTTATAGTGTAGCTTACTAAATAGTGTCAAAAGTTGCCACGTTCATCTAGCACTTTCATCCTGATCTGCAAGATGTTTACGGAATAAAGTTAAAAATTTATCAATTGCATATAATATTTACATGCATGCTTGATTAATGAAATACATGTAACATTAAAAACATTAAACAAAGTCTTGAGCTATTTTCACAATGATGCTCAAAATAAATATACATGTACACTTGTAATAACAAAGACAGCAATACATACAGGTATCCCCAAGACACTAACACCTAGTGTGTAGTCACGGCAATACATACAGGTATCCCCAAGACACTAATACCTAGTGTGTAGTCGCGGCAATCCATACAGGTACCCCCAAGACACTAATACCAAGGGTGTAGTCGTGGCGATACATACAGGTATCCCCAAGGCACTAATACCAAGTGTGTAGTCGTGGCAATACATACAGGGATCCCCAAGAAACTAATACCAAGTGTGTAGTCGTGGCAATACATACAGGGATCCCCAAGAAACTAATACCAAGTGTGTAGTCGTGGCAATACATACAGGGATCCCCAAGAAACTAATACCAAGTGTGTAGTCGTGGCAATACATCCAGGTATCCCCAAGACACTAATCCCAAGTGTGTAGTCATGGCAATACATACAGGTATCCTCAGGACACTAATACCTAGTGTGTAGTCGCGGCAATCCATACAGGTACCCCCAAGACACTAATACCAAGGGTGTAGTCGTGGCGATACATACAGGTATCCCCAAGGCACTAATACCAAGTGTGTAGTCGTGGCAATACATACAGGGATCCCCAAGAAACTAATACCAAGTGTGTAGTCATGGCAATCCATACAGGTATCCCCAAGACCCTAATACCAAGTGTCTAGTCACGGCAATACATACAGGTACCCTCAAGACACTAATACCTAGTGTGTAGTCACTGCAATACATACAGGTATCCCCAAGGCACTAATACCAAGTGTGTAGTCGTGGCAATACATAAAGGTATCCCCAAGACACTAATCCCAAGTGTGTAGTCATGGCAATACATACAGGTATCCTCAGGACACTAATACCTAGTGTGTAGTTGCGGCAATACATACAGGTATCCCCAAGGCACTAATACCAAGTGTGTAGTCGTGGCAATACATAAAGGTATCCCCAAGACACTAATACCAAGTGTGTAGTCCCGGCAATACCATAGTTCTCAATGTCTCGTTCATTTTTTATTAACATTAAAAAAAATATTCTTTAATTTTAATTTTCCTTCAAAACGTAATTCAATATTTTGTTTCAAAACTGTTCCAGTTATGAACAAATTAGGACCTTGGTGATCACAAAGGGATCGGATGTAAGTTCCATCACTTACGAAGTGCAAAATTATCTTGTCAAAACGAATATTGAGCTGACGAAAAACTTAATTGTATACACAAAAACCTTGTTATTCTGCCAGCATTTATCCAACAACATTTTGGTGTTATAAAGGGATTGGACAATTTATTTAAGGGAGACATGGAACGGAACTGTTTAGTAAGGGAGCTACATGTAGATAGATAGATTTATTTGGTAAAACATTGCATCAATACATAAAAGTTCATCACATGGACAATACAATACATGTTTTACCGGGATAACACAGTAAAGTCACAGACTTATTTCCACTGTGGTCCCTAAAGGAACTGTTAAGAAAGAACAACAGGGACTTTTGAAAGTGAAGTAGTAAATAAAACAAGAGTTATTATATTGAGGTTTGTAATATATAATGTATTGAACACAATCATGTTTCAAAGGATTCAATAGCTATATATTAATGAAAAATTAAGTTACATTGTAGCAAAATATTTCTGATTAAAGCAACAAAAGAGACATAAATAACAATTTTAGGGGAAAATAATATGTCCGTTCTTATGCATGGACACTGCGAGTCAAGAAGAAATTAAAACAAGGAAAATAAAATAACACACAAAATGCACAATGGATCCAGTCTCCGGTTTATATATCAGATTAAGATATGAAACACACACATGTTACCCCTTGTGTCTACTAATCTAATTATAACAAAGAATAACTACTTAAATATTTGTACATTTGTATAGGTAATCAAATAGCAGACAAGTAAGGCATGGAAATTTGGAGCAATTCTAAAATGTTTGCTTATATACCAATTTATACAGTAATCTCACTAGAGCAGAATGACGCTGACATTCACAATATTAATGTCACTATGGAGAAATATATAAAAAATCTCTCCATATTACGAAGAAAAATATTGGGATAACTTCCACAGATTTATTTCCTACATGAAGAAACAAGAGGCCCATGGGCCTAAATGGTCACCTGGGTCCTACAGTATTTATATTTTTGTTGTTGAAATATGTACCAATTTGAGTACAAAATAGTTAAGTATAACGTTAACTTAAGTTTGTCAGGACCATGAGCTGATCATTCCTTGACCGAGTTTCAGTTAAATCGGCCTATTAGAACTTGTTTTTAGTTTTGAAATAGTTTTTCAAAATGGCGGCCGTGTCGGCCATATTGGATTTCTGATCGACCCGAAAAATAACAACACTTTGTCAGGACCATGAGTCGATCATTCCTACAAAGTTTTATTTCAATCGGCCCAGTAGAACTTGACTTTAAGTTTGAAATAGTTTTTCAAAATGGAGGCTGTGTCGGCCATATTGGATTTCTGATCGACCCGAAAAATAACAACATTTTGTCAGGACCATTAGTCGATCATTCCTACAAAGTTTCAGTTCAATTGGCCCAGCAGAACTTGACTTTAAGTTTGAAATAGTTTTCAAAATGGCGGCTGTGGCGGCCATATTAGATTTCTGATCGACCCGAAAAATAACAACACTTGGTCAGGGAGATGTCAGTAACCTTCCCATGAAATATTAGTGAAATCCCTTTGCCGGTATTTCAGCTTAAGTTGAAAATGTAAATTGTTAACGGACGACGATGGACGGAACGGATAGAAATAGGTCACTTGAGCTAAAGCTCAGGTGACCTAAAAAGACAGTAACCAAGTGAAACTAACCGTGCAAGATTTCTTTAAAAAATGTGTTGGTGAAAGGACAGTCAACACAATAGTCAGGAATTCAACTCCCATGTTTCTGTAATACATTGTTGCAGAATATTCCTCAGCAGGAACTTCCTTAGGATATCAGAGATTCCTCAGATATATACGGTTAAAATAAGATAGAACTACCAGGTACCACAGTACATAATGTCTTCAGGTTTGATATCAGAACACTCAGTTTGAAGATAACACTTTCAACAAAGCTCTTGTAAGTGATGAAAATTAGGATACATTTGGTGTAAGGAACTTATAAATTTTTCAGAAGAATGGGTTGCAAACATGATGTAAAATGGCGTCATTAAGGTGGTTTGTTCAGGTGAGTTTGGAGTAGACAGGAGGTGAAAACTTCTTACGTAGGTACTTAAGTATGTACAATGGTATACAACTGACAGACGTTATCACCAAAACCTTCCATACAAAATTCCACGTCGTCAGGAAATTGGCATCTGAAAAACAATCAAAAACAGGAAATAGTGAATATTTTTGACTGGAATTCACTCCAAGTTTATAAATCTGTTTTTTGAAAATAACTTTCAAATTATATGAAAAGACTAGTACTAATTCTAACCATGTATGACTCTTTGATAGTTTAAACAACATGCAGTATGATTAGTATATATGGTTGTTCTTGACCTATTTTACTTCTAAACATTGTTAGTTACAGTCTTTGGTCTTTGATAGACAACTTTTTGAGCCGTTTTAATTTATTAACATATACACAAAGGCAATTAATTATACAGTATATTTGATTGATTTGACAAGACTGACCCTTTATATATGACCTCCAAATTGGTTGCCAACATAACTCATTTCATTTTATTGCAAACAATGGACAAATTTTGAAGAAAAAAATTGTATTATACTTTAAACATCTTACCAAAGTAGTTTCTGAGGACAGCCAAGGATAAGAGATATATGGCAAGGCTGAATGCCTCAGCAATGACCATCAGGTAGTGCCAGGTCCGTACCGCTAGCGCCACCATCAGCAGCTCCGTGAGGATAAGGGAGGTAAACGTGATGGAAACTACATGTACAAAGTCCTCATCAAACAGCCACAAAGCACCATATATGATTATACCACCTGAAAAGGAAAGAGGTTTTGAGGGTATTCACTCTCATAAATCTTCTATTCAGTGAAAGAAATATTTTAATCAGAATTTTGTAAGTATCCTTAATGCATTATACTGTTAGAGTATTGAGTGAGAGGGGCATTTTTGAGAAATTCCAAAAACAATAAACTGTAAAGAATATAAAACTTACCTTGATAGACACTTATCAGCACCCACAGGAAAAAAGTTTTAAATGACAATGACCTCCCCTGGAAAACAAATCAAAATCATTTAAATTGTTCACTATCAACAAAACAGAACACTATTGCTGACTGTAAATACAACAGGCCAATGGGCCTTAACAGTTACCTGAGTTTTACAGTATTTATTTTTGTTGTTGAAATATAAAGTGGAGATAATAATGTCAATCATCCCTACCAATTTGAGTAAAACATTGTTAAGTATAACGTAAAGTTAAGTTTGTCATGACCATGAGTTGATCATTCCTAGACCGAGTTTCAATTAAATCGGCCTATTAGAACTTGATTTTAAGTTTGAAATAGTTTTTTTTCAAAGTGGCAGCCGTTGTGGCAATATTTGATTTCTGATCGAACTGAAAAATAACAACACTTTGTCAAGACCATGAGTCGATCATTCCTACCAAGTTTCAGTTAAATCGCCCCAGTAGAACTGTTAAGTTTGAAATAGTTTTTCAAAATGGATTTCTGATCGACCCGAAAAATAAGAACAGCTGGTCAGGGAGATGTCAGTAACATTCCCATGAAGTATCAATGAAATCCCTTTGACAGTATTACAGCTTAATTTCAAAATGTAAAACTTCTACGGACGAAGACGGAGCAATAGGTCACAACGGACGAAGACGGAGCAATAGGTCACTTGAGCTTCAGCTTTATAATGATTTCCCATTGCAAAAAAATCTTTCTCTCTCTTGATATAATCCTAGGTAATATACACACTCTGATGTATTCAAGAGATTATAACCTGTTCAGTTGTTCACCTCTGATAAACCAAAATAAATTCTTTTTCCTTAAGTTTCCGGTGTGTATGGATTTTTTGTTAGCTCAGGTGAACTGACTATTTTAATGATGATCTTGATGTCAATACAATCCAATGAATAATCATTCCAGAGATCAAGTTGGAAAACTCTGGTTAAAGGAGAACACTCTATTTGTAGTAACAGTGACCTTTAACTTTCATTTTGTTTCCTCAAATGCATGAATGTGCATCCCGGTTCTGCAAGGCATCCATGAATGAATTTTGAGTTCTCTACAGCAAAGATTTCAAAATTTAACAACAAAAACTATGACCATGAACTTTGGTGTAGCAACTTCAAGTGTACGTAATTCAGTGTATTTTTGTTCTACAAGGTATACCCAAGGAAGCTCCAATTATCAAGCAGAAACAAAACCAAGACAGATGATCTATTTATAGTAAGTGACCTTAACCTTTGACCTAGTGCCCTCAGATGTAATACCAATAACACTTACTTTTGTTAATTCCTTATAAAGCTCTGGGTAGGTTATGGCAATTTCTGCAGACACATCTTTATCAAGCACCAGTGAAAACACAGGATACATGGTGTAGATGGTGGAGTATCTGAAAAAACATAAGTCTCACATGGCTCAAACAAATCTTAAAATCACGTCAGTCTTTCTCAACAATTATAAGAGAGATTTTCAACACAAACTCAAAAAAGTTCAAACATTTTAAAATGCCCCCCGCCCCCCCCCCCCCCCCCCCCCGACCCTGTGGTTGACCTATAAATAGCAATAATGACCTTAACATCCAACGTATTCTCATACTCGACCTATCTATAAACTCTGATGAAAATCTCTTCTGAAATTAAGTTGGCTGAGCCATGACAATGAATCAGAACCAAAGGGGATAGACATTGATAACACCATCACTGGGTCCACCCCACTCCCCACATAAAATGACAGGGGCCTGAAAATATATATGTATGTATATATAAATAAAGTTACTGAGTGTGTCAAAATTTAAATTGAAAGACAGTAAATTTCATGGTGTGATGAATTAAGTTGGTCTTAGGTAAATTCAGCATGAACTGTGATGGTCAAGGTCATGAGGTGATTAATTGATAATGAACTACAAAGCAGCTCATGCTGAATTTGTCTCAAAAGCAACTCAGTTCGTCCCCCCTCAAAACTGACCTAGAAACATTCTAAATGTTACATTATTTTCCATTCTTGATGTGATGTCATTTGCTTTTGCTGGCTTGCTCACATGACATTGCCATGGATACCTACTCAATTTCACACACAAATAAAGAATCAGACTCAAACCTGAGTGGAAATGGAAATATAAGGATAAACTGTGTATAGCTATATTATTTGTATTCACCAAAAAGGGCTTCAGTACATTTGATGCCTACATGTAATTTTTGTTAAAACTGCAACCAAAAATATGTTGCTACATGTATAAATATATACAAGAGGCCCAATGGGCCTGCATCGCTCAATCTAACACTTGTAATCTTAAGATTTCATAAGAACCTATTAAAAGATTTAAACATATGACACCTCTGACCTTGATTGTTGAACAAAGACATTAGGTTGAAAGTGGATAAAGGTCAATCATTTGAACAAACATGGTAGTCCTTCATCCCAGCATGCTACAGGCCCAATTTCAGTACCCTGGCCCTTTTGCATATTGAAAAGAAGTCGCTTGAAGATTTTACGACATTTGACCCTGTGACCTTGAAAGTTGGTCAAGGTCATTCAATTGAACAAACTTGGTAGTCCTTCATCCCAGCATGCTACAGGACTAATTTCAGTACCCTGGCCTTTTTGGTTATTGAGAAGAAGTTGTATGAAGATTTTAAAGACATCTGACACCAGTGACCTTGAAAGTGGATCAAGGTCAATCATTTGAACTAACATGGTAGTCCTTCTTCCCAGCATGCTACAGGCCCAATTTCAGTACCCTTGCCCTTTTGCATATTGAAAAGAAGTCGCTTGAAGATTTTACGACATTTGACCCTGTGACCTTGAAAGATGGTCAAGGTCATTCATTTGAACAAACTTGGTAGTCCTTCATCCCAGCATGCTACAGGCCTAATTTCAGTACCCTGGCCTTTTTGGTTATTGAGAAGAAGTTGTTTGAAGGCTTTACGACATTTGACCCCTGTGACCTTGAAAGTGGGTCAAGGTAATTAATTTGAACAAACTTGGTAGCCCTTCATCCCAGCATGCTGCAGACCCAATATCAGTACCCTGGGCATTTTGGTTATTGATAAGAAGTTGTTTGAAGATTTTAAAACATCTGACCCCAGTGACCTTGAAAGTGGGTCAAGGTCATTCATTTGAACAAAATTGGTAGCCCTTGATCCCAGCTTGCTACAGGCCCAATATCAGTACCCTGTGCCTTTTGGTTATTGAGAAGAAGTTTTTTGAAGATTTTAAAGACATCTGGCCCCAATGACCTTGAAAGTTGGTCAAGGTCATTCATTTGAACAATCATGGTAGCCCTTCATCCCAGCATGCTACAGGCCTAATATCAGTACTCTGGGCCTTTTGGTTATTGAGAAGAAGTTGTTTGAAGATTTTAAAGACATCTGACACCAGTGACCTTGAAAGTGGGTTAAGGTCATTCATTTGAACAAACTTGGTAGCCCTTCATCCCAGCATGCTACAGGCCCAATATCAGTACCCTGGACAATTTGGTTATTGAGAAGAAGTTGCTTGAAGATTTTAACATATTTGACCCCTGTGACCTTGAAAGTGGGTCAAGGTCATTTATTTGAACAAACTTGGTAGCCCTTGATCCCAGCATGCTACTGGTCAAATATCATCTTCCTAGGCCTTTTGGTTATTGAGAAGAAGTTATTTAAAGCAAAAAGTTGACGCCGGACAGACGGACGGACGGACGGACGGACGGACGGACGACGGATGCCGACCATAACATCAGCTGACTTGCCCTTCGGGCAGGTGAGCTAATAAATGACATACATGTATTTTTCTCTTTCATGGGTGAGAGACCGCCATGATATACTAACACCATTGTGCAGTTTACAGGATTCCTTGAGAGACTTACCCGACCATGAGGAAGCCAGGGAATAAGGCTATGGACGCGAAATAGAACACCGAGGAGAAGACTGCCTGCATCGTACTGATGATGAGGCCGCGATGGATGACAAACTGGCTAAGTGAAGCTGATCGTTTGTAACTGTAACAGAAATTGGAGTAAAACACATACACAGGATAATGGGTGATTAGTAATTTCATTTCAATCATCCTGTTCTTGCTTCAAAGCAGTGAAAAATTGTTTGCAGTGAATGTTCAATTATCAACCTAATAGTCCATTGTATCAAATAATACTGGAATTAGAAATTAGAAAATATAATAATTAACCGATAAATTCCTTTTATAGCAGATTAATACTAAATTAGATCTATTAGAATGTAGAGGACTAGGTAGTTCTGATATATCCAAAAAAGATTAAGTAAAAACAGTATCATAAAAAATAGACTACTAGGAAGAATAAGGAGTAGCATACAACTCTATGAAAGTTTTTAACACATAGAAGGTAGATCACAAAATCTCTGTTCCGGTGATGACGGATCATGTTGCCTTACCTATTTCTACCATGGACCATTAATAACCTGCCGATGTGAGAGAACTGTGTAACAGAAAAATCAGCTGCTAAGGAAGCTTGTCGGCCCTCCTACAATACGAAGGAAACATATTAATAAAAGAATCAGCAGTCTCATTATTTAGCATTTATAAACAGTAGCATATGATGAAATCTAACTAGCAGGAGTCAAATTCCTTCCTAAAACGTATATTTATATTGTGATCAAATAAATTCATTGTTTGTTTTACAAAATTCAATAAGGGATATCCTGAACTCATTACTTTTAAATCAATCTATATAGAATAACTTCAATGATGCCGATATGTTTCTATTTCTTTCTTTTGCCCACATGCACAGTACCGATTTTCAATAACGCTTTAAATTTTCCATTTTTGAAAAAATATCAAGATAATCAGTTAGGTACACTCAAAACAGATAGATTGGTGAGTACTACCAATGACATGTGACAGAGGTGTACTCTCACAGTGAGTTGTTACCTTTCCTACTATTCCTATTCCAGCATTAGCCGCCTGGATCATACTGACGTCATTTCCACCGTCTCCTACAAACAAACATTTAGACAGTCAGACCTGTCTGCACTGAATGTCACTCAAGTGCAAATGTATCAGTATATTGCCAATTGTGATTTGTTAATGTATAACCATTGAGGATTTGAAGGAAAAAATTGGTAAAGGATTCATCTGATATGTGCATCCATTTGACATCATAAAGATGAATTGTAGATCATTCTGCCATTACAAGGAGAGACTTATTAACATTAAACAGAACTTACCTATTGCACAGGTGCGCTTGCCAGTGTGTACCTGGAGAAGCTTGACGATGTCCGCCTTCTGTGTTGGGGAACAGCGACACACAACCACACAAGGACACTGACACGCAAGCTCCACAAACTCATGTTCGTAGTACTTCAGGCACACCTGTCAAAGTACATATCAGTATTAATAACTGTAATATGATTTTATGTAGTGAAGATCATGCAAAACGGTTCACCTTTTGAACAAATTATACCTCCATTTTAATCAATACAAGAGGCCCAGAGGGCCTGTATCGCTCACCTGGATACCTAAGCAATCATGGCAAACTATTCTCCAAATGAGATCAAGGGAATATGCCAGACCCCAAGGCCAATCCTTGTAGCATAGCTATATTAGATTTTTTATGCCAAGAAATGTTATGTATGGTTATGGGGTGGGGATCTCAACTGTTTCCAAGCTTTGACTCAGAAACTAGTTCCCTAGAGTTGTGGCCAGACCCCAGGATCGATTCTAATATCGTGACTGCATTTGTCTCTTTTTGCCAAGCATTTGTATATATAGTTTTGGGGTGGGGATCTCAACCGTTTCAAAGTTATGACCCAGGGGCCAAGTCTGCAAGGGTGGGGCAGACCCTGGGATCAATTCTAATGTCATGACTGCATTCGTCTCTTTATGCCCAACAATTGTATATATAGTTTTGGGGTGGGGATATTAACCATTTCAAAGTTATGACCCAGGGGTTAAGTCTCCAAGGGTGGGGCAGTCCCCAAGGCCAACCTGGAAGCATATGTGCAATCATCTCTTTATACTCAGCAATTGTATATATACGGTTATAGGGTGGGGCTCTCAACTGTTTCCAAGCTGTGACTAAGAAACTAGGTCCCTAGGGGTTCGGTCAGACCCCAGGGTCTATTCTGATATCATGATTGCATTCGTCTCTTTATGCCCAGCATTTGTATATATAGTTTTGGGGTGGGGATCTCAACCGTTTTAAAGTTATGGCCCAGGGACTATGTCTCCAAGGGTGGGGCCAGACCCTAGGGACATCCTGGAAGCAAATGTGCATTCTTCTCTTTATACTCAGCAATTGTATATATGGTTATATGGTGGGGATCTCAACCATTTCCAAGTAATACATTTTATTGGCCCCACCCCTTAGCCCGGGGGGTCAGCCCCACCATTTGTACAATTTTGAATCCCTGCCTCCCATGAATACTTCCGACCAAATATGATCAATATCCATGGCATAGTTCTGCAGAAGAAGTCATTTATAGCAATATAACCAAATTGCCCCCTTTTGGCCCCGCCCCTCAGCCCCCTGGGGGGTCAGCCCAACCGTTTGTACAATTTTGAATCTCCACCACCTAGAGATGCTTCCAGTCAAATAAGGTTGATATCCATCACTTAGTTCCAGAGAAGAAGTCACTTAAAGCAGTATAGCCAAATACCCTTTTTGGCCCTGCCCCTCAGCCCCCTGGGGGGTCAGCCACACCATTTGTACAATTTTAAATCCCTGCCTCCCAGGAATGCTTTTGATCAAATATGATTGATATCCAGTGCACAGTTCTACAGAAGAAGTCGTTTGTAGCAATATAGCCAAATTGCCCCCTTTTGGCCCCGCCCCTTAGCCCCCTGGGGAGTCAGCCCCACCATTTGTACAATTTTTAATCACCACCACCTAGGGATGCTTCCAGTCAAATATGGTTGATATCCACTTCTTAGTTTCAGAGAAGAAGTCGCTTAAAGCAATATGGGCAAATTGACCCCTTTTGGCCCCGCCCCTCAGCCCCCTGGGGGGTCAGCCCCACCATTTGTACAATTTTGAATCCCCACCACCTAGGGATGCTTCCAGTCAAATTTAGTTTAATTCCAACCAGTGGTTAAGAAGAAGAAGTCGTTTAAAGAAATTGTTGACGGACGGACGGACGGACGGACGGACGACGGACGCCACGGTATGGCATAAGCTCACCTTGGTCCTTTGGACCAGGTGAGCTAATAATACTTGCCAAACCCTGGTGACAGCAGTTGTTCTAAACCTGAACTGAGGCATCCTGTTTGTAGTTCCTTCCTCACATGTTTTAGGTTGATAGGTGAGGCAGGGATGTTTTTGTTTTTTTTAGAAATGTCATGTTTTATGTAAAAACACTAACTTTCAGTGATTTTTCAAGAAATAAAATGTTTGAGTAGGTGCTATTTTTAATTTATTCACCTGTAAATTGTTACCAGTTATAACCAGAACAGCATCTTGTTTTCTACGAAGCGCATTGAGTTCCAGATGGGCTTCTGTCCGCCCGGTGACACCACCAAACGTGTGAATATCCTGTATCCGTGACACAAGCTTGGAGCTCTTGGCAATACATATGGCCGTCTCTAGTTTGTCTCCCGTTAACATCCACACCTAGTAAAGGTAAGGTGGCTCTTAGTCATAAACATTCATGGTAATCATATGTCCTATCAAAATTAACCCCTGCTATCCTGTTCACTAAATATTATGTTATATAAAACAAGCAATCTTCCCATAATCGTTCAAACTGTTTGGAATCTGATAAAACAAAAGCAGCAATGAAGATTTGTATAGAAAAGTACACAAACCTGTAGTGCATACCTCCTTTATTCTTAGTCATTGAGCAATACACAACTAACTTAAAGTACACGTATTTCACATAATCACTCACCTTTAAATACACAATTTAGACTGTTGTACTTTACCTTGATTCCACCATTTTTCAGCAGTTCTAGTGTAGGCCTGACCCCCTCTTGTAGTTTATCTTCTACCCCAGTTAAACTCAGCAGATCCATGTCACGTTCCAAACTCTCAATCACAGCCTGAACTTTCGCATTCCGGTCCTGGATACTCATTTTTGCCTGGTGATACCTCGTCTATTATCACATAAACAAGAACGTTTTGATACAACAAGTTCTATAGATTTTCTTCAATGTGTACATTTAAATCCATTTAAATTGTCAGAAGTAATTTTTCAAAGTAAATTTACAACAAGAAATAAGTATTGGTATGAGGAATACAAGAACACTTACATTGAATATATTCACAAGTAGATAACACATGTATAAGAAACACTATCCTTTGCTAAATCATAGGCAATAGTACTGCATTTTGTATTAAGTTTGCAACAATTAAAAGGACCGTTTTGTTTCAAATGAATGTTTATTTGAATAAAATTGTAAAGGAAACTCTTCAATAGTGTACTTTACCTCAAACTCTTGGTACTGTTCGTCGGTGAGGATCTTTTTGGCTATCACCAGTGTCCTTAACCCCTCACGTGCCATGTTACCACACTGTGAAATTAAAATATATCAAACTCAGTGTAAACATTGTTCTTCATGCTATCCTGTATCTTCATAACATAACCCTCAACCATGATTATATCATCAAGCTTGAATAAGTTTGATCTTAAAAATATAATCAACTTGAACAAATCCTATATCTTGAAAATCCACAACTTTGAATACATTGAATGAACATTTTTAACCAGGAAAAAACCCAAGTCAAACACCATTCTGAAAACTTCATCAACTTTATAGACAGTATCCCAATATTAACTGAAATTTATCATATTTGAAAAGATTTCCTTCTCTATTCTAAAATTGAAGAATTTTGCCTTAACCCTTTCACCACCGTTAACCATAATGGACTCATTCAGATCATTGCATGGTAAAGTTTACCTAAGTTGCATAGGGGTGAAAGGGTTACCAATTTAGATGTTAGGCCTGTTAACACTGACCTCTTCGTCTAGCCAATCATTATACTGTACAATGGTCTGCATCACCATGTCTGCTCCCTTCATGTAGAAAGTTATCTCCCCTGTTGCCTCCTCCTATATGACATACAAATTGAGTTAACATTTCAAACAAGAGGTTTAATAACTCTGATCCACATTATCATGTACAGAATTTCATTATAATAGGCTAGTTATAATAGGCTAGTTATAATAGGCTAGTTATAATCAATACATCTGATGCATTTCCCTGCAGTAGCATTCTTAGGAACTTTACTGATTGGCCGAAAAAAGTTACCAAAAACATTTCTCAAATTTCTAGCGATGTTTTTATTCATTAATAAATCATTTTGATACTAATTCATTTTCACTTCAAAAATCAAAAATGTAGTTGTATCAAACAGATTTCCCCCACCTTGACAATAATTCCCATGCGTTTGGTTTCCGAGGTGAAGGGAAATATCTGTAGTATCTGGTAACCGATGATTGAACCATCAGGAGCACGGAGCTGCATACTGCTCAAGTCCCTCTTCAGAAGTGCTAAACCCACACTCTCAGTCCAGGCTACCAGGGCAACCTAGAGCACAATCAAAGATTTCTTATAGAGCAAACACAATTAAATAATCTGTGACAGGACAAAAAATATTTAAAAGAAAGAAAAGACAGAACGCTGGATTCGAATTTGCAAAGTATAGCTGTATTTCTCAGCTAGTCTGAGTTTAAGATCTTATTGAGACTTTAAGGAGGTCAATAATTGAATTTCAACAAGAAATTTGCAACTTTTTGGTGGGGTTTTTTGGTCTGATTTCTAGTACTGCTGTACAAAGTATTTTAAAACAAGGTCTAGACCTGATTTAATACAGGGGTACATTGTACACAACACTCTCTCATACCACCAAAACAAGGTCTAGGACTGATTTAATACTGGGGTACAGTGTACACAACACTCTCTCATACCATCAAAACAAGAAGCCTTATACATAACATATTTGTACAAAATACATACTACTATATGTCATCAGTCATGGCTGTCTAGTGTGCCCACTGAGTGTTAGATTTGGGAGTTTACTTAATACATTTTCAAGATTCTGTACCTAAAGGTACTTGGTTACATAAGGCAATTCTTGAAAACTTGGGGTACAACCAACTGTTTTGGGGTGAAAACCCTCATTTGGGAGTTTCCAAGAACACTGATGTCTAATAGACAATATTCTCTTACAAACTTTCTCTTACCTCATCAGGACTAGAGGCCTGATACACAACTTTCTGCTGACTCTGCTGATCTGCCTCAGTCTCTGAACTGGTATCCTTGCTACTTTCATCCTCAAACACTGGTGTGACATTATGACACAAGGCAATAGCTTTTACCGCTTCGTATGTCCTTGTCACCACAGTCCTCCTAACGGGGCCTGTCCGGGTCGGTGTAGTCATGGGACCGAGGAAAGGCTGCTGGGAGGCCTGCTGCTGCTGTTGCTGGCTAAACATAGTCTTCAGGTGGGTCATAACCTGTCACCATTACAAAAAGAATCTGGTAAGCTGGATGTTTTCTTTTGAATTACTGCAAATTCTAATCTTTCATCAACTTTATCAGAAGTAACTATCTGAAAACTTCACAAGAATTTGTCGATCAAATGTGACATTGGATGACATTGACCATCAAAGAACATTTTATTTACCTCATCCATGGTGTCTGGAGTGTAAGCTACAGTTCCTAGATGGAGTTTCTTAAAAACCTGTAAAAGACCAATAAAACACAGGTAAACAACATTTACATATAATGATACAATACAACTCATCCTAAAACACATGTCTACACATGTCTATAGCATCTACTGTACAGTACACTTTCTGGTAGAAGGCTTGTGACATACATTTAATACTCATTGGATAACAGAATTTCACAAGATATACCTCATTTTATTCAATTCGCAGTAGTTGTTCCACGATAAAACCAGTTTCTGACAAGAGCAATTCCTAAAAAAAATCTCTATTTACAAATTGAGTATTATTGTATGTAAAACAAAGAACACTGGGTGACAGAATATCATATTTAATAAAATTTCACAAGATATACCACAATTTACTCAACTTTCTGCAGTTGTTCAAAAATAACATCACAGTTCTAACAAGATCAATTCTTCAAAAAATATTACAATTACATGTAAAACAAGAGCACTGCACAGCAGAATTTAACAAGCCCGCAAACTTAGCTAAACAAGCAAATTCGTGGAATTTATATCCCCCGCTTGCAGGACATATTGTAGGTTAACATCATTGAGGTTAATCAAGGGGCCATAACTCCGCCAAATGGAGTGGTTGTCAAACTTGGCCGAGCCCTTAATGCGTTGAACCCTGTTACTAAGTTTGAAGACAATCGGATAATATTTGCGAGAGTTAATGAATACAAATGGCAGATAATGACGTTTAACATTATTCAAGGGGCCATATAAAGTCCCCTGAGAGTTGTCATTGAACTTAGTCGAGCCCTTAAGGCATTAAACCCTGGTACCAAGTTTGAAGAAAATCAGTTAACATTTGTTGCAGTTAATGCACGGAAAACGGCAGTTAATAACGTTTTTCGTTATTCAAGGGGCCATAACTCCGCCAAATAAAGTTCACTGAAAGTGGTCATCGAACTTGGCCCGAGCCCTTAAGGCATTGGGTGGAGCCCTTACGGCATTTAACTCTGTAACCAAGTTTGAAGAAAATCGGTAAACATTTGTTGTAGTTATTGCACGGAAACGAAGTGTGACAGACAGACAGATGGACAAACCCAAATTAATATCCCCCGTTTCGGTGAAAGTGATAATTCGGGGGATAATAAATGAAATTCAGAAGGGGAATATGGCATCTCCGACTAAATATGGGGGCACAGTGCAAAAACTATTGTAATATAACAGCATACCTTTTTCATGATATGCATATCTTAATACTTAAAGAGTAGTTGGGACAAAATTGAGTTTATAGAAAGACAGACAGATGGCAAATGAATAACAACTTGATTCCAGAATAACACCCTCCTTATCTTCACAGTAAAAGTTTAGGGAAAACACTAGTTTTCTCACCATTTCGTTCTGTGTGAGAGTGCCTGTTTTATCTGATAATAAGTAACTGATCCTTCCCAGTTCCTCCGGTATGGTGGTCGTGCGGACAATCGTCTCCGGAATTAATTTGTCTCGCTGGATGAACCATGAATAGGCAGCTTTACCCATGTCCAAATTCACACGTAAACTAGAAAATGGTGAGGACAATTTAAATCAGTGGTTGATAAAATCAGATGTAATGGCAGAGAAATAGGTTTTACTGTAGCCATTGAATAACGTTCGATATTCATAATGTCCTTTAAGAGACTTCACCAAAGTTATAAATCATATTTGGAGATTCATGATGTCTAGCCATATTTCACAGCAACTGAATGCTCACAAATGTCAGTTCAGTATATTAATCAACACATCAAAGTAAACAAAGGGAATTCAAATAAATTAAGAAACTGCTAAAAATCCTGTTCACCACTCATTCTTTTTACAAGTTTCTAAACCTAATATGTATTAATCTTTGTTCTGGGTACAGAACAATACTTAATGACGGCATTAACTCGTGCTTATACTCAAGAAACTCCTCTTCACTAACCTGATCGGAATGATGTAGGAAAAGAGAAGAATGAATCTAAACAGATATCTGTACCATGGTCCCTCAAAACCCTGAAAGGACAAAATAGTCAATCATCATTTACCACAAACTATTCAATATATAATGCAATACATTTTCTCATCAAAAACTCTGTTTTAAACAATTTATTTCACATTTTACATAACTGTCAAACCTCCCTCATTAGGAGGGAGACCCCTTATTTTGACCAAAATTTTCTAATCTCCCTTGAAACTCCCTCCCTCATTAAAGTCCAAACTCACACAAACTCAAAATCTACATCCTTTGGTCAAATGATCTCCTACTAACTGCAGGGTGTGTGTAATGATCATAACAGGTGTGTCTGAATCAAACGAATGCTTTTTGGAGTTATTTTGATACATAAAAAGGGAAAGATAAATTGAGCAAAGCAGTTACAGTCACATTAAACACACTTTCTCCCTCATTGGAAATGTGGAATGAGGGAGATCTCCCTCATTGGAAATGTGGAATGAGGGAGATCTACCTTATTGGAAATGTGGAATGAGGGAGATCTCCCTCATTGGAGGCTTCAGAGGTTGACACCTATGCATTAAGTACAGTTCAGTAATAAAAGGATACTGAACATTGAATAGTTATACAACAGACACATTCACCTTTTCAGATTTTAACTTTGAGACAGATTGTGAGAAACAAACATCAACTACTGACCTTGAGGCAGATCATGACCACTGACAGAGCAACGACTGCAAAGAAGAGGACTTTGGTCAAAGTGTTGATTTCCAGATCCAGCAGTCCGACCTGTAGGTAGACAAACAACCTATATGATCACATGTTATATCTACCATTGAATAAAACACTGTATCAACAAACAAAGTTTTAAAATGGAAAAGGTGTTTAATGTTGAATTCCCTGTACTCTGTATTTGTGTTAATGAAATCTTTTATCATTCCCTTTGACTTCATGTGTTTGTTGAGCCTGCTGAGCCACAGCTGTAAATTGGCCCACCAGTAAAGACACAGCAATTTCAAAGGGTTTCAAAGACAAAAGTGATGTTTATCTACATAGTTTAAGAAATAACATGTAAAGTAAGGTCTTACGATCATCCCACACTGTTGTTTACAAACAAAGCCCATGTTTACCTCATTATTTGTGATGGTGACCACTTAGGTTTTTACAGTACGGGTTGCTATTCTGTCCTGGTCTGAGAAGCTGTCCCTCCAAATTTTATAATATTGAGAAATCTGGTCAAAACATTAATCTGACGTGCTACTAAATGTGGACTATTGGCCTTGTCGTGATGGGCTATCTAGAAACCTGTTCCCAGTGGTTAAAATTGGATGATCATGACTATCCTTAATGTTCTAAATTAACTAATACTTCCACAACTATAGCAGGTATAAAAACTACCAAACATATGAAACATGTATGGTGTTAAGTGTAAATAGGTACCACCATTAACATCTGCCAGGGATACCAGCAGTGACTGGATAAAAAACCAACCCTAGGACTTCCATTGTCTCACTTTGTGTATTTCTTACAGTGTTGGCCATCCATGATGTATAATACAGGAATTAGTTTGGAATTGTTCTGAATAATACAGAAATTGTTACTTATAATAGCCCAGAGGCTTACAATACCTCGGTCAATACCTAAACCAAAAACAGCACCAATAAGCCCAAAACCCAGTTCTACTAACACATGTACAAGAACATTTTGTATGACAATGACCTTGGAATGACCTTAAACAGATGCCTGACCTTGCTCTGTGGTTGTGAGGTGTTCATGACGCTACGAGTCTCACTGCCTGTGTAAATGACGACACCCAGTGCTGTGCCAGAAGCCACCACAGTGTTGGACCAAAGGACGTTCTCCACACTCAGTGAGTCCTCCTCCTCCACATCGGTGTCTGTCTGTAAGGTCAAAGGTCAAAAGCTAGTGGTATATAGTGGGTCAAGGTAATTCCTAGGGGGACAGAGGTTAATGCAAAATGCAGGGTGGGGTATTCAATTTGATAAAGGGTCAATAATCATAAAAGGTGACACATGTATCTGCCAAAACCTCTTTCAATTTAATAATAATAATTTAATACAGCATTTGATATAGTGCCCTATCTAGCTAACACAAGCCACTCTGATCTAAAGCGCTTTACGGTACATAGATATACAATTAATACAATTAGCATATACATCAATCAAATCAATTTTGAGTAATTCGCAGTAGCTGGCTTATCAGGCGCTAACTACTAGTCCTATGCCACTTGGCTAATTTCTCCCTATGTGTGTATGCCTGCATGTGTGCTGGAGATGTAATGCAGAATGATTCAATGTCAAAAGAATGGGACAATAGGCTCATTAGATCAGCATCTAATTACTTTTTCTTTCCACTTTACATCAGCTTTTTACCTTTTTATACCGATGTGTGACCTTTTGAGTTTGTTTATTCATTTTGTTTTGATTATTGAAGTTTTTAACAGTTCCTGGTATTCTGACCTGGTAATCAGTTAAACAGTTAGATGTTGACCAACTAACCCGTTTGAAGGTCCCTACAAAGTTGTGTATGTCCTTCTGTGGGGCCTCAGCATATACCTGGGCCTTAATGTCCAGAATGTCCTAAAACAGAAACATAGGACAAAAGGTCACATAAAACATTCTAGTCAACCTAGCTTATTTTATGAAATGAAATAAATGAATGAAGTTGCACAGGAAGATGTTAGTCCTTAATATATTGACAAATGAATGAATAGTTAAATGAATCAACAAACAAATATCACTGAATTTATTAATACTGTATGTTGTAAACCGTTTGTTACAGAAGGCCTTTTACACCTTCTCTACACCTTCTCTAATAAAAGCATATTAAAACAGTGGATGTACCCAGTTTACGATAGATAGAATTTCCTCTGTCGAAACAGGTGGAATTTCACTGGAATCAACACTTACCGGTATGTCCCTTAACACATAAAATACAAGTGCCCTTACCACATTAGACATGAGGCTCTGTGTGTTCTGTACAGCCAGTCTGAGTTTCCAGTCTGTCTCGCCATCCAGTTGGTCAGTCCTGATAAAACAGGCACCCCCATGTTCTGTGGTCCGCAGGAAAATCATGTCTGCTGGCACACGCTGATCCTGTGACAGTGGGTAAAAGGTTAAAAGTTTAAGGTAAATATCCTTATTCTAAAAACTTCTTTCAAATTCTTTCTAGCTATAGAACAGTCCATAAAATTTCAAGTGACAAATACTTGGAAGTTTGTAAGAAAGCAGACGCAATATTGTTTCATAGTCACAATTTTTCGTTAAAGAACTATTTTAACTAGAAAATGTCTTTATGTCAGAATGAGTCTTGGGCTTGTAGTTGACCTATAAATAGCAACAGTGACCTTGGTGTTGACTTTGGGACCTTGAAATATAAACACATTAGAGGTATTCTCATACTTGACCTTTGTATGAATAAACAAGCTGTTAAAAAATAGAGTCATGACAATAAAGACCCAATGGGACAAGATGGGATGGACATGGGGGATACTATATGCCCCCCCCCCTCCCCCATAATCACATAAAATGGCATTAAAAATCAGCATTCCTTATATACTATCATGGAGATATCGATATGAGCAAAACTTGCTTACTAGATAGACATGTGGGGGATCTGGCAATGCCTTACCTTTTCTACAGCGATAAGATCACCCACTCTTATGTCTGAACTCGGGATGACCACAAAACCATCCCTATTCAATTTGCTGTACTTCTGTGAGTTGGCCTCTTTGTCCCTGCGGTAACGTCTGTAGTCGTCCAAAGCCTCACGAAACATGGTCACAAACAATACAAAGCCCTGAAAATGTAAAGGAAAAACAATTGTTAGATTTTGTATAAAACCTGGACCATTACATCAACAATCTCAGACAAAATAGTTCAGGAAAACTTAACATCATACACACAAAGTGTATTTACCACACATTATGAGACCTGTACAAAATGGAATAGTAACTTGAGTTTTGTTTTTGTGAACAAAAACTGTATTTCTCCCCTTCAATGGTTTTTAAGTTACCACCCGGATAAAATATTCCTGAAAAATTACCACATCTTTGACCTTTGACCTAAGTGGCAGTCATATGATTTGATAGCACAAGCTATGTCTGATTATTGGGAATGTAGCCATATATAAGCATAAAACACTTGTGCGACTCAGATTGTGTATCAAGATGTGATCGCTTTGTTTAAGGAAAACACTAATTGTCAGTAGGTATACAGGTAGCCTATCTTTATACTGGTATAAACTCTGACCATACATACCAGTGGTCCCCAGGAGGTATACAGGTAGCCTATCTTTATTTCTGGTATTAACTCTGACCATACGTACCAGTGGTCCCCAGTAGGTATACAGGTAGCCTATCTTTATACTGGTATAAACTCTGACCATACGTACCAGTGGTCCCCAGTAGGTATACAGCTAGCCTATCTTTATACTGGTATAAACTCTGACCATACATACCAGTGGTCCCCAGGAGGTATACAGGTAGCCTATCTTTATACTGGTATAAACTCTGCCCATACGTACCAGTGGTCCCCAGTAGGTATACAGTTAGCCTATCTTTATACTGGTATAAACTCTGACCATACGTACCAGTGGTCCCCAGGAGGTATACAGGTATCCTATCTTTATACTGGTATAAACTCTGACCATACGTACCAGTGGTCCCCAGAAGGCATACAGGTAGCCTATCTTTATACTGGTATATACTCTGACTATACATACCAGTGGTCCCCAGGAGGTATACAGGTAGCCTATCTTTATACTGGTATAAACTCTGACCATACGTACCAGTGGTCCCCAGTAGGTATACAGGTAGCCTATCTTTATACTGGTATAAACTCTGACCATACGTACCAATGGTCCCCAGTAGGTATACAGGTATCCTATCTTTATTTCTGGTATAAACTCTGACCATACATACCAGTGGTCACCAGTAGGTATACAGGTAGCCTATCTTTATACTGGTATAAACTCTGACCATACGTACCAATGGTCCCCAGTAGGTATACAGGTAGCCTATCTTTATACTGGGATAAACTCTGACCATACGTACCAGTGGTCCCCAGTAGGTATACAGGTATCCTATCTTTATTTCTGGTATAAACTCTGACCATACGTACCAGTGGTCCCCAGTAGGTATAAAGGTAGCCTATCTTTATTTCTGGTATGAACTGTGAAGAGGCCATCACAAGGAAGTACAAGTTCAAGAAAAACTTGAACTGTTCAAACAGCACCTACAAATAGATATTGAGTAATTGTATACTGTATATGAAGTAAAGTTTTAGTTTCATTATTCAAATGATCAGTTAAAATATCCTGAACTGGGTTCTTTATAACAGAACAGTGGTTTACCCCTGTGGTCCTGAAATATTATATGGGAGAATAAAAGTATGGAGGTTTCATTACATGATGAATTTTATTTCACAGCAATTTGTAAATTATAGTCTGATGAATGAACTTGTTACTTGCTAAGCCTCAGTATAACAGGACCTTGACAGGACAATAAATCATATCTACCTTTGGTATGAATGTGATGATACTATATTTCTGGTTTCTGATGACATTTTTGGGGAATTTTACGTCAGAGTTTTTCTCCAGGCCGACTGGAACCTTCCGTGCTTTATATTCTTTCCTCCGATGACATAGTCTCTCCCAGCACCTGTTGCACATGGTAACACTATGACATAATGACACACCAGACTGTTAAGCTCTCAGGTAACACAGATTATGTCTGATTATTGAAAAAAAAATCCTTTTTAAGACAGGAAAACACTTAGTTGACTGCAACCATTTGTTAACATGTGCTACAATGTCTTACTTAGTGGTATAGACAGTCATATGATTTGATAGCACAAGCTATGTCTGATTATTGGGAATGTAGTCATATATAAGCATAAAACACTTGTGTGACTCAGATTGTGTATCAAGATGTGATCGCTTTGTTTAGGGAAAACGCTAATTGTCAAACGCTCTGATGACATGGATCATTTGTAAGGCTTTACAAAAAATGTCACTATTACTACACATCACACAACACTATGTGCGACAGATGGTTGGCCAATAACTTCTCTCTACCTGTATATACTGTAACGTTAAAACCTTATCATCTGCTCCTTGTGATTTAACGCAGCTTTGTATCAAGATAATCTAAAACCTTCAACACACATTACATAACACAAAATCAATACTTTGTAATTTATCAAGCATGTTTTATATAGGCCAGGACTACAGCCATACAATAAAGGCAAGATAACTTGGAGATGAGGGTATAATAAAAAATATATTACGCAGAAATTTGGATATTAACAATCACAAATGCGTAAGAAAATATAATATTAACAAGCTGAAGATTAATGAAATTCCGTTCAGTAATGAAGTCGCTAGAGTGATGACAGACAAAGTTTTTCTAGAAATAGTAAAAGTGGCCTTGACCTTTAACACAGAAACCTGAAACATGAACTTGTTCAAGATATTGCCATACCAAATACTTGTATCAAGATTAATGAAATTCTGTTAAGAATGAAGTGGGTAGAGCAATGACAAAGTTTTTCTAAAAATAGTAACAGTGACCTTGACCTTCAACGTAGAAACCTGAAATGCGAACTTGTTCTGGATATTGTCAAACTTCACACTTGTATATTGCCACTTGTATTAAGTTTCATGGTCACCAGAGTGATGACAAAGAGTGCAACATCGTACGTACAGGCGGAATCCTTTATTCCCTCGAAATTTCGTTGCGGGGGGATATTAAAAGTTTATTTAATATTTTCGGTTAGTTTTAATTTCTTTTGTTTAAAATTTCGTGGCTTAAAACCACAAAATCAACAAAATCAAATACCGATCAAAATACTAAACTTTTACAGTAATCAAGGAAAAACAGTCTAGACTGCAGTTGTATAGATGGTTATAAGGCTGGGATCTCAACCATTTCTATAATATTATTACCCAATGACTAAAGGGACTAAGCCCCTAGGGCGAGACCAATCCTTGGGTTCATTGTTTATAGTTTCTTCATGCCCAGCATTTGTCATTGAGTGTATCAACCATTTCAATGTGATGACCTAAAATTTAAATATCTTAGGACACACGGACCCTGAGGCTAATAGGGGTTACAAGTATTTCTAAGTTAAAACCCTTTTTGTCCCCACCCCTCAGACCCCAGGGGTTAGTCCATTTATTTGCCTGCCACTTCAGGTTACATGCAACCAGTCAAGAACAGTTACCTTGAGCAGAGATTGGACCAGCCATCTGTTAGGAAGTAGACAATCCTGCTCTGGTTTGGATTTCTGTAGCGTCTATTGACAAGGAAATCGTTCTCATCCATGTCAAACCGAACTGTTTCCCCGTAAATCAGCGGTGCCTCATCTGTCCCAGAATCCTCATAGTCGGACGGTAGTCTGTAACGATTAATGCTAAAAGTTATGTACAATCAAACATTTTTATTATTATGAACACAGATGATAGATTCATTTCTATAGCACAAAATCATTTCAAAATTTCATAGCAGTTTAAGTTAATAATATCTTCATTGTATATCTGACTCGAATTTCATAAAATTCCTTAACTTAAATTTCTCCCAATACTTCGTTAAATGAACATTTGTGTGACATTGGTATACTAAGACAGGGCATTATTATATTATACAAATTTTAGTACTAAGATTCATAAGCCCATGCCTGGTAATAAGCCCATCAATATAGATCTATTCCAGTTCAGTAGAAGGGATAAAAAATCGTTTTCAATGTCTTTTAATAAGCCCATCCCTTACTTTGAACCAGATAGAATTTATTGATCCCATGGGCTTATTGCAGGATGATGTTGCTATATGGGAATTTCTGGGCATCACAGCTTTGAGAAATATCCTGATTATCATTGTCCTGACAGTTTGACATAATTAAGCTTTGTGTAGGAAACAGTACATCTGGACCTCGACCTTACGTCATGTCCGAAAGCATTGACTCAAGGCAGGTACAAATGGAGGCATGGCGAGGTGTAGCAGGAAAAGCAAACAGCCAGGAGGCATAAAGAAGCATACACTGTCTATGTTTTACAACAACTATGAAACAAGTCATTCTGACTTATATTTATCACTCTAGAGGGCCCAGGCAAACCCCAAGGGGTCAGGCAGGCGGCAAAGTACATTTTCACATCAAATTAGTGAATAAAATCAAGACTGTCCTGGTAAAAGGTGACTGCACTATCAACAGCACCACCTGGCCACAGAGAAAGATGAATGGGAAGTGATCAAATCTAAATCCTATTTTGATTAACAAGTAAAAGGAAAGCAACAGTGTAACAAGTAAGAGGACTTGAAGGTGGACTATAGACAATAGGGATGAGAGGTGTAACAAGTAAGAGGACTTGAAGGTGGACTGTAGACAATAGGAATGAGAGGTGTAACAAGTAAGAGGACTTGAAGGTGGACTGTAAACAATAGGGATGAGAGGTGTAACAAATAAGAGGACTTGAAGGTGGACTATAGACAAGTAGGGATGAAATCATTTCAATGTAAAAGAGGGGTGAGTTCTTGTGTACTCTGAGGACTTTGTGGTGGACTGTAGACAATAGGGATGAAATAATTGCAATATGAAAGTGGGGTGTAGGGGAGTTCCTGTATACTCTGAGGACTTGGTGGTAGACTGTAGAAAGTAGGGATGACAGAATTACAATATGAAAGTGGGGTGTAGGGGAATTCCTGTATACTCCGAAGGTAGACTGTAGACAATAGGGATGAAATAATTGCAATATGAAAGGGGGGGGTAGGGGAGTTCCTGTATACTCCGACGGTGGACTGTAGACAATAGGAATGAGAGGCGTAACAAGAAAGAGGACTTGAAGGTGGACTATAGACAAGTAGGGATGAAATCATTTCAATGTAAAAGAGGGGTGAGTTCTTGTGTACTCTGAGGACTTTGTGGTGGACTGTAGACAATAGGAATGAGAGGCGTAACAAGAAAGAGGACTTGAAGGTGGACTATAGACAAGTAGGGATGAAATCATTTCAATGTAAAAGAGGGGTGAGTTCTTGTGTACTCTGAGGACTTTGTGGTGTACTGTAGACAATAGGGATGAGAGGTGCAACAAGTAAGAGGACTTGAAGGTGGACTATAGACGAGTAGGGATGAAATCATTTCAATGTAAAAGAGGGGTGAGTTCTTGTGTACTCTGAGGACTTTGTGGTGGACTGTAGACAATAGGGATGAGAGGTGCAACAAGTAAGAGGACTTGAAGATAGACTGTAGACAATAGGAATGAGGGGTGTAACAAGTAAGAGGACTTGAAGATAGACTGTAGACAATAGGAATGAGGGGTGTAACAAGTAAGAGGACTTGAAGGTGGACTATAGACAAGTAGGGATGAAATCATTTCAATGTAAAAGAGGGGTGAGTTCTTGTGTACTCTGAGGACTTGGTGGTGGACTGTAGAAAGTAGGGATGACAGAATTACAATATGAAAGTGGGGTGTAGGGGAGTTCCTGTGTACTCTGAGGACTTGGTGGTGGACTGTAGAAAGTAGGGATGACAGAATTACAATATGAAAGTGGGGTGTAGGGGAGTTCCTGTATACTCTGAAGACTTGGTGGTGGACTGTAGACAATAGGGATGAAATAATTGCAATATGAAAGTGGGGTGAAGTGGAGTTCCTGTGTACTCTGAGGACTTGGTGGTGGACTGTAGAAAGTAGGGATGACAGAATTACAATATGAAAGTGGGGTGTAGGGGAGTTCCTGTATACTCTGAGGACTTGGTGGTGGACTGTAGAGAGCAGGGATGACAGAATTGCAATATGAAAGTGGGGTGAAGTGGAGTTCCTGTGTACTCTGAGGACTTGGTGGTGGACTGTAGAAAGTTGGGATGACAGAATTTTAATATGAAAGTGGGGGTGTAGGAGAGTTTCTGTATACTCCGTGTGAAGGATGTTCATTACACTGGGAGCTGCCCAAAAGGGAGTAATACTGATGCTCACCTTGGAAGCTGATTGGGCATCCAGTTGGATGTTGATGTACAAAGAAGACAGTACATGGAAGCCAATCATCAGAGCAGTGTCTGTTATAAAGGCAGATGGACTGACAACACCAAAGTTAGGCAGTTATAATGCCAAGAACAATGGCAAATCTTTATATAAAATGTTAGAACAATTATACTTCATATTGAATATTCATAACTTCAGTAACCTTTTCAAATTTGGATTTTTTATTATTAACCATCTGCTATATTATATCTTTCAATGAAAATTACTCTCTGAAATAAATCCATCTAATAGTATAAAGAACTATGTGATTGAAAAAATACATATGGTACATACACATGTTTTATGAGATTTTATGTTATTAACATGTCTCCTCAAAGTAGACTTCAAAACCAATTAAGAAACTGTGGTAACATCGAGTACCTGTGTGGCAAGGGGAGATAACAATAATTTAGGTCAAATAATACAGAGGAGACCAGGCGTAACAGGCCTAGGGTACATCTAAAGTGACCACTTCTCTTGTATACTGTGGAGTGTATTATATAAATGTAAAAGCGGTTTCAAGAGCAGAATTTGTTACTTCAACGTTAACATAAGACTTAATATTTACTGTACATATCCTACTGAACATATTCTGAAGTGCAGAGTCCTAAAGTTTTCATATTTACTCATTCACCCCTGAAATTTCATAATGTACTTTTCCAACCTTTGAATTGGAAGATCGTTCAGATAAGTCTTCAGGGGTGAATGAGTTAAACTATGTATATATTTTGCTGACTTGCTGTATGAGTGTATAAAATGGTAGATTGCTTGACTCATCTCCATCTTAACAGTTTATCAGTCGCCAGACTAATTTTACATTCATAAACACACAAACAAAAAAATGAAGTAGCAATTTGCATCCATTGAGTCCTGAATCCAGCTCCTCACAGATATACAATAGAGCCATAAAAGTATGTAAATAGTTCTCACAAAAATTCTCCAATCCTTCCATATCCGTATTATCCCATCAGACAATACTGCACAAGGAGAAAGCTAATTAATTTCCAGACTGATACACACCCACAGTTGAAGCCACACACCCACAGAGTTGAAGCCACACACCCACAGAGTTGAAGCCAGTGATATTGTATAATGTAGGGTGTATTTATACTGTCCCAAGTTCTCTATAGACCTAATTCACATCAGTGACCTACATAGATGTTCTGAGGCGTGACTATATAAATGTTCCTGTCCATACGTACTACTTATATAACCTAGTCTCGTATCTACTGTAGTTTATTAGATCTGATCGGAGTGTGAGTAACAGTCCAGTAAATATAGCCTTTGACCATTACATTAACATGTCCATTATGGGTTGTAGTACAACCTTTTATATTCACTTATGTATACAAACGTGTCTTCTCATGTGTGAAGCGTAGGTCCCTACATGTGTTATAACGTAATTCATTAATCAAATGTCTGAAAATGTATAATTTAATTGATATAAAATTTGCATGCAACATGGACTTATATGTAAATGACTTTTATAAGATATATTCTCATGAATGTAATTATAGATAGCAATCAATTGGACAATTTCTGTGTTTAAAATTATGTAAATATGTACGAAATTACCAAAACGAAAGTTTTGAACTGTAGACATACACAGAAGGTTGAAAGGAAAACCGTGTATATATGTGTCCATGAAAATAAGATGGTTTTTACTTAGCTGAGACTTACTTCAAAACGACCCAAGTTGGTTTATCTCCTTGCAAAGCACATATGGCATTTCCATAAGCTTCTTTTTTTGTAACATCAGAAGATACAAACTGTTACCGAAAATTAACCTTATGTTTAACCTTGAGGTAAGGGTCATAGTGACGTAATTATGGTACCATGAGGATGCCAGCTCACTTTCATAAAGATCTTTTTGCAGTTTAAATATTATGACCTTGACAGAATTTTACAAAGAACTTGTAATATTTGACTTTTGACCAAATAGTGACTTATATAATGTCAGTTCACTTCCATAAAGATCTATAACAGTTTTAATGGTTTTGAAGTAATGGCCTGAACAACCTTTTACAAAACACTCATAAATCTTGCACAAATTCTGAGGATAATACAGAAAAAACTTCAAGTTTTCTATAAAAAATCTTACCACTTTTCACAGAAATTTTGACCTTGTAGTGAAGGTCACTGTGTGTGACCAACTTTTGGCACAATGCACACATTCTGAGGCGATGCATGTTGACATGTAATTTTATGAAGATACCTTTAATGGCTTTAAAATTATGACATGTACAAAAGTATTTTAGTTGAAAGAAGCAAAAAAACTGTAATAAAAGTATGTCTTTCTTTATTCTAATGGAAAACATAATAAGTACAGAGTCATATTAATGTTAACAAAATCCTTCTACAAGTTAGATGATCCTGGCAGTGTGGGACAGATCTGTAGTGGGCCTGTAGCCTTTTATACCATACAGTAGGTGATCCCATCACACATCTGTAAGGAAATCTTATATATACCATACAGTAGGTGATCCCATCACACAGCTGTAAGTAAATCAATACATCCCAGCTGAACACTATATGGCGCTACTGTTGTCCCAATTAAATGGTACAGCTATGACATTTATACCTGGAGGCAGACTGACATTATACACTATTCTGTTATTACTAGCTGTGTATGTGCATACTTAAATGTACAGCTACTAATTACATATATATATACAGTATAACATTCACATCCATGTGCTTTAATACAGCAATCAACAAGCTTTTACTTAACACATGTTAATATAGTTTTTTGTACACATCCATCAAATTATTCAGAAATCTGCCATTTCATTGAGAGAAAATGTATTGATATTTGAACAATTTCTGAACTAGAAAATTTTACATTACAATTTCACATACCAGTATATCATTCAGATATGTACACGTACCCATCACTTGACAAAGGAAATTAGTCTAAGACGAATCCCATCCAGCTCAATTACTCCTACATAACAGGTGAGGCTTTAGGAAGAACATTGCACTTTCATCGTTTCTTGTCCAATAATACACGTTATTAATGAACCAATAAAATGTCATTTTGTGCCAGCTGATGTGGTATAATTGATAATGAATTTTGATATATCACACATTATATCAAATGTATAGGTCAGTAATGTTCAAATAACATTTCAATCAAATTAATAACATCTTTCAAGTAGATGATCGTATATACCCAATATGCTCTTGACAAAGTTAAGTTGTACTAATGCAAGTAAGTATACAGACCATCTTGCTACATGTATTGTATAACTTTGTGGAATTTATATCCACCGCTTTCAGGACTTATTGTAGGTAAACAATATTGAGGTTAGGTTTAAACATGTGAGTATCGTGCTGTTGAGACATAATGTATAGCTTGAAACTCGAAGAAAAAAGCCTTATCTAATATTTGCTAGAGTTATTAAGCGGAAACCGCAGATAATGACTCTGCCAAATGGAGTCCGATTTAAGTGGTGTCAAACTTTGCCGAGCCCTTAATGCGTTGAACACTGTTACTAAGTTTGAAGACAATCAGATAATATTTGCGAGAGTTAATGAACAGAAACGGAAGATAATGACGGTTTTCGTTATTCAAGGGGCTGTAACTCCGCAAAATGGGGTCTGCTGAAAGTGGTCATCGAACTTGGTCGAGCCCTTAAGACATTTATCCCTGTTATCAAGTTTGAAGAAAATCGGTTAACATTTGTTGTAGTTATTGCACGGACACACAGACAGACGGACAAACCCAAATTAATATCCCCCGTTTGGTGAAAGCGGGGGATAAAAACAACACTCAGGAGTAACAGTCTTAGAAAATGTTCCCAGGACATTTACCAAAGTGGGGAGGGGGCTTATTTGCGAGAGGGGGCTTATTGCCGGTAAAATACGGTATGTGAAATGGTAGCAGTGTTCATAATACAAAGAGCAGTTGCTAGGCAAGCCCAATAAATATCAAAATGTATTCCTTTCTAAACAAGAGGCCCAGAGGGCCTGTATCGCTCACCTGAATATTTAAGCAGTCATAGCAAAAATTCTCATTAAATATTACATTGTACTGCAAATTTGTCATTCGCAAACTTTTTTTTGTTGAAACTACCAGTCAAATATACTTTTTGGCCATCGTTCTTCTTCAAATATTATAATTTTATGCCTTTTAATAAGAAGTCCCTTGATGTTTTTGACATATTTGACACCTGTGACCTTGAAGAAGGTTAAAGTCATTTTCATTCTTAAACTTTGTCAGGCTCTATCTCACGAAGCCACAAGGCAAATATGAAGGTTCTACACCTTTTAGTTCTTCAGAAGTCGTTTAAGGAGTTAAGCATATTTGACCACTGTGACCTTGAAAGTAGGTCAAGGTAATTTTCATTCTCAAACTTTGTTGGGCTCTATCCAAGGAAGCCACCAGCCAATTTTGAAGATTATATACCTTTAAGTTCCTCAGAAGAAGCCGTTTGAAGTGTTTGACATATTTGACTGCTGTGACCTTAAAAAGGAGGTCAAAGTCATTTTCATTCTCAAACTTGTCAAGATCTATCCCAAGGAATCGACCAGCCAAATATAAAGATTCTATACCTTTTGGTTCTTCAGGAGAAGTTGTTTAAAGTGTTTGACATATTTGACTGCTGTGACCTTAAAAAGGAGGTCAAAGTCATTTTCATTCTCAAACTTGTCAAGATCTATCCCAAGGAATCGACCAGCCAAATATAAAGATTCTATCCCTTTTGGTTCTTCAGAAGAAGTTGTTTAAAGAGTTTGACATATTTGACTCCTGTGACCTTGCTAGCCAGTCAAGGTCATTTTCATTCTCAAACTTTGTCGGGCTCTATCCCAGGAAGCCACTAGCCAAATATAAAGATTCTATACCTTTTGGTTCTTCAGGAGAAGTTGTTTAAAGTGTTTGACATATTTGACTGCTGTGACCTTGAAAGGAGGTCAAAGTCATTTTCATTGTCAAACTTGTCGAGCTCTATCCCAGGAAGCCACTAGCCAAATATAAAGATTCTATACCTTTTGGTTCTTCAGAAGAAGTCGTTTGCAGCTTTTGACATATTTGACCCCTGTGACCTTGAAAGCAGGTCAAGGTCATTTTCATTCGCAAACTTTGTTGGGATCCTACCAAGGAAGTTTTCAGCCAAATATCAAGACTCTATGCCTGTCCATTCAGGAGAAGTTGTTTAAAGGAAAAGTTGACAGACGACGGATGACGCACCATGACATAAGCTCACTTGCCCTTCGGGCAGGTGAGCTAAAAATTAGAGTATAGTGCTCAGAACATAGTTGGTATATTATTCTCAGAATACAGATGCTTGATTGTTAAGTATTTAGCATACTCTAAACTAAAATTTTCACTTTTATAAAGTATGTTTAGCAAAGGTCATTTCCTCTACTTGGGATTGAAACCAGGAACTGTTGTTACTTTTAACAACGACTAGACCGTACAAACTCTGGAACTACAAACTCTAGACAAACGCTATCCATTTGAGCTTTTCAATTGCATTCAGTTCCAATACACATCCTGTCCCATCCAAAAATGAAGGCTTCCCTTCATCAATGGCCAAGCCTGTCAACTCTAACCAAGCTACCTTGTCACCAGCAATCAACCTAGTCTTGTTCCATCACATTCCACCCGTATTCAGCAAAGAACTCGAAGACACATGAGATCTGATACCTCCATGGGTATATTTAGTTTAGCACCAAACGTAATAGGAAAGGAAAATGCAATAGTCAGACCAACATTTGAACCTAGGACTCCAATTCATCCAGTCCAGTTATGTCATGTTGTTGTTACAGCTACAAATTCATTGTCACAGGAAAACAAATAATTTGAATATGGTATGCAAAATAAAATGGGTACGGCTACAACTGGGTTACTTTTTATATGTGTTTTATTTTTTATTTTTCGATAGAAACAAAAACAGGCTGAAATCTGGCATTTGCATACATGTAACTTTCTGATTTATTCTATGATCATTGAATTTGAGAGTAACAGCCATCTTCTTCATCAGAGCAATGGAGATTATTTTTGCATTGCAATCACCATAAAATAATTCTTTAAACCATTACGAAACAATCAGCTATGATTCATCATTCGTGTCATGATCGCCACTTCATCACCTGATAACTGGCAAATTGTAAGGTTTTCCTGTTGATAGTAAAATATCTTATGAAATCATGTTCACATTAGTGGGTTTTACAGTTGGATAAAACTATCATATTTATGTTACCTGGATAATCTTGAGAATTTGACGTTCAGTGACCGTTTGGAAGATCCATAAAAAGTACTTCTATTTACAGGCATTGGTTACACTCGCCTGTTGAAAATTGGCATGCCACTTAGATCATTTCGTTCTAATTTTCGGATACTACTTCCGGAAATAAATCATTTAAAATAACATACATAACCGATTTAAATACAATAACATTTATGTAGCTTAAAAGCAAAAAGCATAAAGTATAACAAGAAGTGAAAAATGAAGGATATCATAAGTTATTAAAAATGTTTGAGACCTTAAGCGACGTGACAACCGGAAGTGAACAGGTGCTATGGCTGCCTGACAACAGACGCGATACTGTCCCTTTCCATTTAAAATGTGATACAAATCATATTTTCTCAAAAAGTGCACCGTCCGATAATTACACAAGGAATCATGACCACACACCAGCATGAGGTAATTTTAAAAATGTTAAGTATAAAACAATAAATTCGTCCAAACTCCCGTTGACCTTAAATATTTGTCGGTGATAGTTTATGGCTTTTTTTTACAATTTTCACGCAAGAATGGATGAGAACAGATGCTGCTTTATTTGCAGCATTTATGACCATAGCAGTATACAGCCCACGTTTCAACCCTGGTCACGCAAAGTTTAATGTATGTATAGGGATATGGTAGTGTTTTAAAATCAAGTTTTAACACGAGTGTATTTAACAGTAAACTCATTGTAAACACAGCTTTGTTCACTCTGGGATGGAAAATAAATTACTTCCACAGCCCTACGTCACCAACCCTTTAAACATAGTAACCAGTTTAAGACAGAGTAAGACATTTTCTGATAGTGGTGGGTTACAGAAAATACTGACCTTTAACTGTAGAATTGTACCTCATGGATGTACTTGAAAGATACAAACTTGTAAGTATACTTTGGATATAGTTTGAATCACTGGAATCAGCAGCCAAATATTCGCGTGTACAGTAAGACAGAGACAATTACTGTGGGTTTTTTTTGTGAGTAACAATAACAAAAAAGGAACAGCTTTGGGGCTCAGTTACAGTTAACTGACAAAATTCTCTGTATTAGGGTATCTTATTAAATTCTATATTATTTTATCTTTTTTTTGAGAAGGATGATTAAAAATTACAGAGTACAAAAAGCACACCCCATGTATTAATCGATGAGGTTTGTTTGGACTATTAATGTGTTCAGTGAGGAATTTTGATAAATTCCCAGTTAGCTTTGGAGAGATACACTGTATGAATATATCGCAACTAAACAGGAGTGGATACAGGCTTAAATTCAATCAGAATTGATCCTAGAGAGAATAGTTATGCACATAAGACTTGTCCTGTTAGAATTTTTAATTGTCCAATATTCTGATGGATAGAATGTGTGTATGAAACATTTATTGAAAAAAAAGATTGACCAAAAAAACTTGTAATTGCATATATATCCAAGATGCCTTTTTGTGAGGGAAGATAAACAATATATCATTCATCCATATTTTCAATGTAAACAAAAGCATGAAAGTTTGCTAATAGAATCAATATTTTATTCATCATTTAAATTTAAATTTACTATAAAAATTTGTAAGATAATTGAAGACATAGATTTTTATTATATGTTTGTTTTGTTATAGTCTGATGTGGATCCCTTTCTGTGTACATGTGGACCATGTAGACGGTTCTGGAAGGACAACTTCAATGATGCTTCAGAACTTCTTAGTGAGCCGGCCAGGAGTCGTGCCAGTGGGTCAGCATCTGTACCATCCCACAGCCATATATGTAAAATAGGTGACCGTGTATTGGTACAAGGAAAACACCCAGGTAAAGTTGAAGACAGAATCCAAAGAATATATCATAGGAGAGAGTTTTAGCTGTAGAATCTACTGATCGGAATACTGAGAGTTTGACCTTTGTGAAAGAATATTTAAACTTTGAACTTCATGCTATATGTATCAGGGATTGTAAAGCTTCCTGTTTAGAGCACTGCCCTGGTAGCGTGCAATCCCTACCTTCATTTTCATAGTAAATATGGAAAATATGTTCACTGGTCCTGAAATTAATCTTCTAGCCCATGAAGATGTACAGGCTAGTCAGACATAACATGTTGGGAGAAGTACTGGGAATGGCTGGTGTCCTACCCTATGTAAGCCATTAGATAACAAAACAACATCCTCGATACTTCGAGGGATACGCTTACTTACCCTCTCTGCGCCCCTGAAATATGTCATTGCAAAATTGAAGACAGAGAAGAGTTATTTGATTGATCTCCAGTAAAATATCCTGACCAATTGATAACTGTCATTTGAAGATTACAGAGGAGCATCACCTGACTTCAAAGCCAGTCGGTTTTACTGTAATGTGATCGTGAAATTCTTTCATGTACTTCAAAGGATCAAACTAGTATTCTTGTCTCATCCAAAAAGTGTTGCACACTGAGCCATCAATTTTGTCATGACATATTCCCAGGGTGCAGAGAGTATCGAGGATGACAAACTAATAACCCTTTACTAACATATTTGGGACTGGATGATTCTTGGATAAATTTCTTGACTTTGTAATGTTATAAACACACTTTAGTCTGAATATTTCCTCAAGCCCTTAACACCAAACAAAAGATTTTGATAGATCCTCAAATAAAATGTCGGGTATGGTGGAAAAGACCAGAGAATACTCTGGTTTAAATTAGCTACTGCTATGAGTTTATAGCTCTGTAAATATCCTTGTTTGCTTTAAACAAATTCAACTGGTGCTGTATTATTTTTTTAACAAGTTAATCAGGTTTGGATTGTTTAATGAAACTGGTGCCCAACCTTATGGTAATATGATTAAATTGCATCAGGTTAAGATAAAAACAGAAAATTCAACAACAAACCTTTCAATTTAGTGCACAATTACTTAAGTAAAGGAGCTAAAGAGTATACGTTTTCAATGATTTATTAATTGTAGTCCAATATGGAAATCATATAGGTAAGTGGCGTGTCATCCAAATGTAACACTCCTGTCCACCCAGACTGCCCACCCAGACTATCCACCCTGACTGTCCACCCAGACTGCCCATAGGTATATTGTTGGTGTGTACAAAACGTGATCATCATGTCCACCTATACTACTCATATTAAATGAGTATCTTAGTTGATGTGTATATGTTTGTAACCTATATTTATTTATTGCACAATTATAAAAACAAAATTAAAGAAGCGAGAGAAACACTAAAATCAAACATCCAAAAATACACATGCATGTATGGTTAGTAAAATCATGCCATAAACAAATTGTAACATTGAACAAGAGGCCCATGGGCCTTAACGGTCACCTGATATATTTATACAGAGAGTTGATTTCGTTTTTAACATGAACAGAAATATTATTCAAAGTGACAAAAAACAATAAAACCACCTTATTCAATATCAAGCATACAGATTTCAGACTAAAAAGGATTTGAAACTAGCACCTCTGATTCTAAACAAGGAAAATGAAGAAATTTTAGCACACTGACTCCCTTGAGCCCCACCCTACAGCCCTTGGGGGTAGGGCTGGCTCAAAATTTTCAAAGTATCAAACTGTCAACTCAAGGTTATAATTCCAATCAAGTTATTAACATGTAATATTCAAA